GTTTGTCAAAAGAAAAAAATAAGATGAAAGTAATCATATGATCCTAGCATGATTTCTGGAAACCAACAAATAGACTGGTAGGTTGTTGTTAACTTCTGTTATTTGGATTCTGTATCACTGAACTACTACACTTCTACTGATTTGAAAATGTACCCTCATAATTCCATTACTATTCAAGGCTACATAAAGGATTCGCTTTTTTCGACCTTATTTTATTACTTTAAGACTAGCTCAAGTACATTTCCAAATCGCTGCTTCATATCCAAAAACTCAGGTTCTGTTAGTTGGTCCAACATTTGAATATCACGATTTATAGCTTTTCCACAACCTGTTCCGGTCACTATTCTTTATAGTATGTATAATACACAACTACTTCAGCCAATGAATGAGGTTCCATCTTTCTGATTCCCAACTAGCCAAACTGTACATTGGCGGTTTTGGTTGACAAGTAAATGTTGATCCTCAGTAATGTCATCTACACTACGTTACTTGTAGATTTGTTTTGGCCGACATTTTTAGTGTCTAATCAGGCTAATGAATAAACTTTGAACTAGCAGGAAAAAGATTACTAATCTTTTCTAACCACCGCTCATATGAAGAGTTATTAAGGGACCTTGGTGGCTAAATACATTTCGGCAGGAATACAAAAAACCTGTTCGTCACTCATTAACCTACACCAATTATTATCACAAGTATCCATAGTCCTAATATATGGATTTATTTAGTCCATAGTTGTGTCTTGCTTTGGAGCGAAGAAATAAATGGCGTCATAAGGTTACAGATATTCAGTTATAAATACCTCTACAACACCCACTTCTGTACAAAAAAGCTATATAAGTGGTTTGTTGAGCATTGGTCTATTTATTCAGATTTTAGGCACATTGTGTAAAGTCATAAACTACTGCACGGTTGCCCAAAACGGTAGATATAGTGAGATGCGGCCCTATAACCTACCAAGTAGCTTGACCTGTAAGCCACCGTTACACAAAGAGTTAGGCGACTGTGGTAAGCTTATGACAATTTATGTTTGGAACATTTATCAGACATCGAATCTCTGTCTTCGATGGGTAGCACTTTTTAAGGTGAAATGAGGTCAAAGTAGGTAAAGGTGACGTCAGTTCATTAGGCCACTGACAGTAAACCTGTTGTGTTGGGAGATGCTTTACATGGTGAGCCGGTGGGTTGGTAGTCTACCAACCTAAATGGCGTCGTTAGGAAGTGGCATCCATGGTATAAACGTCTCTACTTCCTATTATTTTCTAAAGTCCCAGCTTTGTATCCGTGTTTAGTAACCTCAATCTATGTTGGTTTGATGTGACGAAATATACTTATATTAGCAGTTAATTACTCAAATTAGTAGCCCCAGTAGTCAACTTAATGTTGTGTACCTAGTACGGACTAATGAGACTAACCTATTGCTTAAACCGAATTAGGTAAAATGAAATTAAAATCTATGAACAACTGTTTGAAACATAAGCAACCGCACCACCGAACATTTTTCATTACCATTCCACACCAATTATATACATTGATGTTAACATCCAAGGTGCTTCGTTCTCACGTAAAACAGTTGGTCCTATAGGGATACAGTGTAAAGTGCTAAGATGTGTTTATTTGCCATCACATCTCAAGCTTCGCTTTTGTACTGTGGTTGTATTTTAGGTAAACGAATTTATCTAAATTATTCGTAGAGTAGCATCTATCAGTACATGGGACCACTCTTGCACATATAAGGTCAAGCTACTTCGGACTCACGGTATTTCTGCAATAAAGTTGTCAAACATCGACCTACTGATTCTTTGATTGTCAGTTAGGAGAGACACTATAGTAAAAATATACTGCCAACCTATCTTGCCACTCCCCTGTGGTGTACTGCTACTAATTGCTGGCTGTCCCATATTAGCTTTGGTCTCACAAAATACTTTATTTCTTTGTGGGGCACCTTCCACATCAAAATTGATGGCGTCGTGGTAGTAGATATGAGAGCAAATCATAACCATTAGATGTGACGTATATTCTTTCTTATTTAGTTTTCTCTTCACTCTATTTATGAATCCATCTTTACGTACAAGCAGGTAGATTTTCTGGGAAACCATCCAATTTTGTGACAAGACATGGACCAAAGGATGATGGGAGGTTAGACACAAATTTCCTTGATGAACTAAAACATATTTAGAAATTCAGAGATACATGTTCTATTTCCAGAATCTTCACATAATATTGTCTGCGAATTAGGCACTTATAAACAAATCTTGAAAAACCTTGACGCCAGCAGTTTCATTGTGGGTTGCTGTCTGTCTAAACCACACTTCTCAGTAATTTGGATCCATACATATCTTCAGTTTTGAATGATGTGCACCCACTTAAAGTAGGGAAATTAGTGTTGCAACTAATCACCATCCGCCAATTTTAAACCGTATAGCCTGGTCTTCGTGAATTCGCCATTCACTACTAAACACTATTGTTAAGACGGTTCATCATCACATGTTACAAGCTCTACATCGACTGTATTAGCACTGCATTCTTACATTATTCTTTCATTGTATGTAAGGAATATCTCATATACCCCTGATTGTATGACGAAATTATCACCGCGGTCAACATAATCTATACGCGTTGAAATTTATTTAAGGCAATAATTTCTTATAATTCATTAAAACAGAGCATTTTGTCATCACTTTGTGGAGCCTTAACAATTAAAAAATTAAGAGCGAGTATCTCAAAACTTAGATGCTAAAGTAAATAGTAAAACCAACCACATTTTTTACGCAATAATGTTCCTCACCGTTTGGGTACTAATTATCTTATATATTCATTTGCAACGTTCATCTTTTTAAGGAATATATCATCTGATAAAGAACTTGCTACTCCTGGTTTCAGCCCTCAACGTATGCCAGTTTTCACGCCGAATCTTTTTGCTCCTGTCCGCACTCCTAGTCCTCGTCACTTCCGCCCAGAACACGACACTTTACGCGCTAGGGGGATGCGTCCGTTCAACATGGTTCCTGGTGAGCAGATGCCTCAGAATGTGTATCCCAAAAATGACCGATGTTTTCCCCCACCGACGCCTTACGGCCCTGTACCATTTCAGTCTCAGCACGTCATGCCTAATGCAACATGTCCACCCACAGTTAACGGATTTCGCCCCCCGTCACTGCTTGATACACCCCTTAGATGTCCACCTTCAAGAATAATGCCTCCGCGAATGCGGATGATGGACCCTGGAAATATGAGATTTCCTAGGTTTAGGCCTAGATGTGAGACATTTTATGGGGCTGGAGTAAGGCCCCCTCCACCTATTCGACCGACTTTCGATGCAGTACATGAAGAAGCCATAGTTAGTTCGGAACTCGACATGATGGCAGCTCTTCTTGCTTCAAGTAAAACGCCGAATGACGACTGTAAAAGCGGTTCAACTGTCCCTCCTTCGTCACCTACATGTGTAGGTGAACATAGCCTGCAACTCGAGAGTGCGAGTCCCCCACAAGTGAGTTATTTGATTCAGCATATTTAGTGATTAATTTGATTTCATGTATCTGCACCTAGTCTTATGTTGCATTACAAAGCAGATAGAATACTTAGAAGCATATCAGAAAACTGCCATATGGGGTGTCCCTGGTAATAAATATTTGGAAATCAACACCTGGGACTTATATTGAATTTGATCTACTATGATTCACATTGGTCCCGCCATAAAACTTGTTGCGAAATTAGTACTACATACTTTGAACTTGTAGCTAATAATAATTTGTCAGTGATGTGAGTGGTTTCCTTGTTCGATATGTGTTGACTTACATTTCACTAAATTAATTTTTATGATGAATTTTTTCTTCCCCTATAATTTTAGCCTTCGGAAACCGAGACAGAAGCAATCCCTCCTAATATCTTGGTTGAAGATGGATCTACACTTGAGTTTAATACGACTACTCAGATAGGTGTCCTTCCATCCCAGGGCCCAGCACCTTGGCGCCTCATTCCGTTGGACATGACTGTCAAAATTCCTTATCCGTTAATGGAGCTCCCTGTAGATGACTTGCCATATCGTTTTGAAGATCCAAGGTTGCGTGGCCAAGTGACAACATTCAGACTTCAACCTCCATCAAAACCTTCGAGTGGTAGTGACTTGGAAAATTCAAGGTGCAATGATGAACCAGAAGCACTAAATCACAACGAAACCAATGCCATTGGAACCAACGATGATAATCCAGGTGGTTTAACACAAAGACGACCCATCAAACTACAGTTGCATGAAATGGCTAACACCTTTGCTAATACTTCATCCGATCATTTACATGTATCTAGTCGGCAAGGTGATCGTTCTTATCTTGATGACCCGCGATTCCGAAGGCGAAGGATTATGGTTCCAACACCAACCTCCCAGTCAGCTTCGAACGTTCTCAATCAAGAAAACACTAACAGTACACCACAAACTACACAAGAATGCTCAAACTAATTTATTTAAGATCTCTACCAAGCACTATCGTGCATGTAAATGAGTCCCAGCTTTATTTATTCCAATAATTTATTAAAATCGTCAACATGTACATAAATAAACCAACGTTTGAACAGATCAACTTCGAACAAGTTTCAGCCGACATGTTTGTCCATATTTTATTCGTCTAAACTTCGAAACTTCCATATTGACTATTCCATTTCAGATACTGTTCCAGATCACTGGACGAATTACTTGCTCTAACTTGTCTGAAAGCAGCATGGAAGTCAGTTAATTCGACTGGTCTAACCTTAAAAAAGGAAAGATAAAATTGTCTGAATATTTAAGGTGGCAATGTTAAAATGTTGTATCACCATATAACTAATACTAATAGATTTAAGATGGAACGAGAAGTGTCAGAAATACTAATTTACAGAGGTTATTTTAAGAACCAGATATTGTGACTTTAGGTTAAGCGTTTCACTTACTTCGTCGCATGCTATATGCTGTATTGCTTCTATTGTCAGAGAGCGTATAGGTCCCATTGCAGCTTCTCGACAGAGATTTGCCATGTCTGCTCCGGAATAACCTTTTATGTTTGGAAAACACGATTAGTCATTTGTGTTATCATCAAACAGTCTTGCAAAGGATCATCATATTGGATAAAATAGAGATGAACCTTACTAATAGTAAGTCAATCGACATTAAGTCGTAACATACAAATAACCAGCACTTACCATCAGCACGATGAGCAATGTCCCAAAAGTCGTCCTCTTTTAGCGTGTGATGATTTTGTCGCAGTAATCTTTGTACTATTTCCTTCCGCGCGCTCCTAGTAGGTAATGGGATATACAATCGCTTGACAAACCGCCGTCGGGCGGCCTCGTCAAGTTCCTGAGGTCTGTCGAATTCAGTAAAAAGTATAAGCGGATACTGTTTTAGAAGCTTCACCATTAAACAGTCAAATATATTTGGTCCGTAGAGTTGGAAATTTACAACTTGTTACATATACTTTCTGAGAATGTGTTTAGCAGCTTTATTAGTCCAAGGAAACAAATAACATCACATAATTATCATCAACATAGTTACGTACATATGCAACATTTACGAACAGTGGTACGTAACGACAGAGTAATTATTTTCTATTTACGTCCTTTGATTTAAAGTGACTGGTAGTGCTTTATTTTATAAATGCAACTGTTGTGCTCTTTTGGCATGAGCAACGGGTGCATGAAATTTAATGGTCATTAAGATTGTGAACATCTCATAAACACTTAAGCATATTACTGTAAACAATATATATATACCTGTTTGTGGCTCCAATGAAAAGTATGCGTTCATCGTCATTTGTTGTTATTCCGTCCTAAAACAAAAATCGTGCGTCTGAGATGCGCTAATATGATTGAGTAGCTTAGAGAAATACCGAGTTAGTGAACTCACTAGCTGTACTAAGAACTCGGTTTTGATCCGTCTGCTTGACTCATGTTCTGTTTCAGAGCGTTGGGTAAGTAGAGAATCAACTTCATCAATAAAAATGACAGATGGTTGATGAATCCGAGCAATTGAGAACAATGCACGCACTAATTTCTCACCTTCACCAACCTAAAAACAATACGATAATAGTTTTTTAAGTTTGGTAAGTTGGGAAAAAGTAGTATAATAGTCTCTTTGTGAAAAGCACGTTTTTACTAAAGCAATAAAAGTAGCAAGTATAAGGTAGAGAATGATTTGCTTACCCATTTTGAAGTAAGAGATGAAGCGCTGATGCTGAAAAATGTCGAGTTACTTTGTGATGCAATACATTTACCTAAACTCGAAAAGAAATTTTTGTACTTAACTCCAACGTAAGTTGTGTCAATGTTTATTTATGTGTGATGACACTCACAGTTTACGCTTGCCTTATTTAAAGTTGACTATTTCAGTAAAAACACTAATTATGCATAAATTTTGGCACTAAATCTTTGTCAGGTAATAAGACCATCCAACTTAGATGGCCTTTCTCATCATGGAGTAGTAAAGTAGATTAAGCAAGCACTCACTGTGACTGTCATAACATAATAATTGAGTACAATACAAAAGTGTACTTTAATTCTTCATAACCCAAGACGTGCGTATTCAAAACAAACTTACCGATCAAAGTTTTTCCTGTCCCAGGAGGGCCGAAAAGAAGCAAGCCCTTTGGAGGTCCACGAAGCCCAACGAAAAGGTCCCTAAAGTTGAGAAAGGTGGTACAGGACGGTTGATAATATACAAGAAACAAGACATTCTTAAATTTTAGCAAAGTTAGGAAAAGTATCCACAAGTTTATATATATACCATTAGACGATGTTTATTGCTAGGCTGTGAAAATTGTGTCTTATCATACCCAGGTTGCTTGAATCACAAATGTGTTACCAACTTAAAGTAGATTTCCACTTCGAATCAAAGACTCACGTCGTGAAATAAAAAAAAGCCGCAAAGTTTTAGAATGTTTCCAGTAAACACTAGTCACAGAAAATGCAGTATTTCGTAGAACTTGTGGAAACGATTGCAGGAATATACTGTCCATAACCGGTTTAATTCATTAAGTAGATTATTTTTTGTCGGACAGTTTCCCGTTAGTAATTTGCCTCACTATTATCCACTACTTTACTACAGTTGTCCAATTTCAAATTTTCAATATCGGTAACAAAATAAATTCACTTATTTATATAAGATTTGTGTGATAACAGCGTTCGTAAATGTAAATAGCAGATTACGAAAATTAGTGCTGGTTACAAAAGTGACTACATTTCCCAATCAGAAAAAGGATAAATAATTCATTAGACGAAGGAAGAAATGTCACGAATGGTTAGCCTAAGACTTAAACATCTGACATTATTCATCAAAAAGTGTTAATATCTGTAATGGTCAACAAGTTTTCTAGTATTTGAAAATACGGAGGTAACAGAAAACCTTGTTGCAGTACGAAAAGGCTTCTTGAGAATTTTCTGAACGAGCGACCATGTGATAGCACTGCAGAGACAGTGCGACGAACTGACTTCATATAACACGTGGTGTCGGATATAATAGAGCCTTTCTAATTATCTTATCTCTTACTAAAGCGAAATTGTATGATACAAAATGGTCAACTCTGCTGTTGAAACCTCTGTTTGGTTGGGAGGTATAGTCATATTGAGAACCACCATTATATCAATGTCATTTAAAGTGAAGTCTGTTAAAGACCGGACGAAGTAATGTCTATACTGATATATTCCCATTTTCCAGATAATTAAATCATATTTCATGAATTTTGTTCAGTTACTATGTAGGTTGACCGTTGTTCCGACATACTTCATAATTTTACCAATGGACAATGAACTCCTGTTATACTAAACAGCTTTTTATGTCTAGAAGACGAGTGTCGTTTTACAGTAAAGTTTTCCCTTATTACATTTGCCCATACGTATAATATAAAATCCTTATTTTTTCCTTAACACCAAAACTTTTAACTAAATGTATGGTATATTATTATTTGACTATTAGGATAGACTGGACATTTTTTAAAGTGCGTATAAACTTAGTTTACTGATATTTGCATTTCAGTGGTTGTTAAGCTATTAAAACAAAGCTGAAACATTTATCGTAAACACTGAGTAACCATACAAATGACGTCAATATTGTAACGTGCCCACAAAAAGAGTGATTCTCATACAACTTTTGTGCTGAAATATCCAGCTGATTAGTTTCCCTATCGATTAGGAAATTATCTAAATCATACATTATGCCACTTATACTTCTACCGATGACGAGTTATGGTGGTAGCGAACATGGCTAGTACAACTTTTGTAAAGCGAATGCCCGGCGCTTTAACCGGGTTGACGGACACGGAGAGTCCACCTAGTGGAGTTGGAAAACCCTAATTTCGAACCCATGGTGCACTTGGCTCCAATACCCTGAGGGAACAAATGGCATATGAACCAATCGTTGGTCACCGGCTACCATGGGACTGAATCTCCTTGCGATGCTCCACTATCTTGTGGATCAGACCTTTAGGTCGTAGGCTCCGGGTGTGGCTTCCTAAGAAAATCACCTGCTTTGGTTTGGGCATCCGGGTAGTATCACAGCCCTCACACAAATCAAATGAGATTTGTGTGGCGCATATGTATTTGGTGCCCCCTTGTACAAATATCTGTGTTCAAATAAATAAAATTTGTAAACTGCCACTAAGTTGGATAGAATCCTATGGATTCACCCAAACGAATATGGCTTATGTATGAGACGACTGGATCTTCTAAGTTCTTTACGTAATCCTGGCATATTCAGGTGATACAAGACAATGTATTTAGGTTTCAGGTGAAAGATGTATAGGTATATATCATGACTCACGGTCTAAGCATTGGAAGTATTACAATTTCCTGCAATGTTTTCTTAGAAAATTCAAGTCCAGCAATATCATCCCATGTAATTGAACTCTTGGAATCCATTATCTATAATGACATAAAATAGATATTGCAACATCACAAATTTGACATGAAATCTCGAAAATAAAACTCCGAATCAAGTATTTTGTGTGTGTATATTGATGATAAGTTCGATCACCGAGCTTGTGTTTGTTCCATGAGCAATTTAAAATTTTAATTATGATATGATTCGGATAAATATAATTTGGGATTAAATCAAATAATAAGACCTGACTATTTAAATTACATAAATAATGCCAGTCTGGCATTATAATCATACCATAAAGCACGTATTAATACACGGTATTTTTTAAAAGTAACATTACTGCGTAGTATTTTTCAGGCCTTACACTCATCTGTTGATAGTGTTATTGATCTAATGTAATAAAAGTCATTATGAAAACATCAAAACTCTCACTTGTATTATGTAATTATAGCTGTGGTTGTGAATCCGCATTTGTTCCTATTTAAGCGAAAATGCTGACATTTAGTCTAATTCCTAAAACGAACTTTTTAGTTATCAGATGGTTCACATTGTTAAAAACAATAGATATGACAGATAGTATTAAGATATGTGCATTTTCTATGGTACTTTCCGTAAAAAAATAAGTAAATAGTAACAGTAGGTGGGAGACAAAATTGATTCTTCCGTAGTGCACCGTAAACAAGTATATGTAGCTAATATAATCTTAAACAAGTTTGTGTACAGATGATCATATTACGCTTAATATATGAAAAGAAACTTAGCGCTACGTGGTCATAGAACTTGAGTACGACAAGTCAGTAAAAAATTCTTCTTGAGTTCATAATAGTTTCATTGGTAGCAGAACACAAGACAAAATTGAAATAGATAATCTCTGAGGTTAACTTTACCTAAAACACTAAAGTGGTCTATTTAATTTATATATAAGTCCCCAAGCTGCTGCTTTAAAAGTTATTAAATTCCGACCATCTGACCTAAATAGCGTCTAACTGTGTTGATATGGTGTGGATAACGCAGTGACTTATATGTTTATTGGTTCTCTATAACTAGAATGAATGTTTCATACTTATTTCGTCAATTAGGAATCTGAAATCAGTTCGTGATTTTTTAACCAACTATCATCTAGCTGTACACTGAATGAAGTTGTTAAACAGCCAATCATCACACAATCTAGCAACTTCACTTTTTCAGCCCCATTGATTTATTCCCACTCCGAACATCAGTCAAACGGTAAAGAATTAGATAACACAATGATAAGTGATTATTTAGATTGTTAAAAGTCGTTGAATTAAGAAATAAATAATCTCTGTAATATGTTCATTTAAGTGTACCACAAAAAGCAGAAGCATAATCAACGTACGTGTTGGCTTTTATCTAATGATGTTCAATATAGAAGTCATTGTATAGCAATCAACACTTTTAGTACACTCAAAGTAAAACTCAACAGGTGGGTGGTTAAGGATAAGTTAACACTTTTGTAGGCTTATATCACTATCAAAGTTCTAATATAGAATTCCGCATATGATTAGACAAAACATTTGTGTGATGAAAGGACATATTACGTCTATAGCTAAGATGAAATAGGCGAATATTTAAGAGGGAAATACAGATCTAGACCGCAAGAGGCATCATCATAAGGAATGGATTTCTATGGAAATCCTGGACAAGATTCAAGAAAGGAAGAACAAGAAGGCAGAAATAAACAACAAGTGAACAAGAACAGAGAAAGTCAGAATACACTGAAGCCAACAAGCAGAAATATGTGGAGGACCTAGCAACGACAGCGTGAAAAGTTGAAAGAGAAGGAAACATGAAACAAATATATGACACAACGAAGAAACTGGAAGGGAAATGTAGTAAACCCGAGTGACCGCTCAAGGACAAAGGAGGTAAGTCAGTCACCGAGACTCGAGAACAGAGAAACAGATGGGTAGAATACTTCGAGGAATTGTTGAATAGACCAGCTCTATTGAGTCCACTGGACATCGAGGCAACACCTACAGCCGTCACTTAACCAACGATAGAAATCAGCAGAACCTGAAGTCATATCGACTGAGGTCAAACGTAGAAATAACTGCAAAAATTTGGAAGAGCAAGTGCCGACAGACTGGGAAGAAGGATATCTCATCAAGATACCAAAGAAAGGAGATCTGAGCAAACACGAGAACTACAGAGGCATCACACTACTGTTAGTACCAGGAAAGGTTTTCAACAGAGTATTGCTGAACCGGATGAAAGATTCAGTAGACGTCCAGTTTCGGGAGACATAGACTGCATTCCGCAAGGACCAATCGTGCACAGAAAAAATCACGAAACTACAGATCATTGTTGAGCAATCAACTGAATGAAATTCGTCACTATACATCGACCTCCTTGACTATGAGAAAGCGTTTGACAGAGTGGATAGAAAAGCCTCATGGAACCTTGTTCGACACTAATGTGTACCCTAGAAGATCGTCAACATCATAAGGAATTCATACGACGGACCACACTGCAAATTCGTGCATGGAGAACAGCTGACAAATGCATTCCAAGTGAGGACCAGACTCAGACAAGGCTGCTTACTCTCTCCCTTTTTCTTCCGGTGGTTGGCCGGATTATGAAGACCTCCACATCTGAGGAGAAGCACGGAATACGATAGACAGATTGCATGCAGCTAGATAATTTTCACTTCGCTGATGACCTAGTCTTTCTATTCCATACATATCAACAAATGCAAATCAAGACAAACAGTGTAGCAAGAGACTCTTCAGCAATAGGCCTCAACATACACAAGGCAAAAAAACAACACCAAGAACACCAGCCAAATCAATCAAACTTGATGGACAAGCTCTAGAGGAGGTGGAAACTTCGTGTACATGGACAGCACAATCGATAAACAAGAGGAATCTGATTCAGATGTAAAGGCAAGGATTGGCAAAGCGAGCACAGCATTCCCACAGTTGAAGAACATATGGAACTCAAAACAACTGTCTGCAAGACAACATCAAAGTCAGACTCTTCAATATGAACGTCGAAACAGTCCTACTGTTCTGTACGGAGCTGCAACTTCGAGAACTACTACAACAGTCATCAAAAATGTACAAACATTTATAAACAATTGTCTATGCAAAATACTCAATGTTCGTTGGCCGAAAACCATCAGCAGCAATCCACTGTGGGAAAGAACAAACCAGTTTCCAACTGTAGAGGAAATTAGGAAAATACGTTGGAAGTGTATAGGCCATATATTGAGGAAATCACCAAACTGAATCACGAGGCAAGCGGTAGCTTGGGATCGTGAGGGGAAAAGGCAAAAGAGGAAGACCGGAGAACACATTGAGTCGGGAACCGGAAGCAGACATCAAAAGAATGAATAGTAACTTGAATGGATTCTCCAGGACAGAGTTAGATGGAGAATGTTGGTGGGCGGCCTCTGATCCCCTATGAGGGGTAACAAGCGTAATTAATGGTATAATTCAAAGGTCAAAAATGGACAGCTCAGCACGAAATGTTTATCGAACTTTTTGGATTGAGAATTCGGCATAACTGACAGTCGAAACAGTAAGAACATAGCCAGGAAGTGATGAGCAACAATTGAGCTAATAAAATATTTAGCACAATATCCTACGAGTATAAAACGCAAAAGCATCTCTTTCTCAAGTAAGAAATTCATAAGTAAGAGCTAGGCTCATGCATAACCGCTATTTAGGTGAATAAAGCCGGCGAAAGTACAATAAATCATAATCAAAGTAAAGCCTGGGACAAATGTGCGCCAGCCCAAGTTACTTTATCACTTCAATACGGCGAGATGAAATTAACAAAGGAAATTCTAAAACATTTACGATGACAGCTAATCAATGATAATGAAAACAATTGTATGAAGAAAAGGAATAATATGAAGTATAAAAATTAAGAAATAATATTGAAGCTCAAAACATAAAAAAGTGGAAAAACAATTAAGACAAGATCGCAGACATTTGTATCGTTATAGCTGTCGTAGTTAATAGTCATCTTACTGTGCTAACACGCTAATATTTCTTGTTTCGGTTTTTTATTTTAGTATACCGCTTTTTTCGTCAATAATGTTAGATATGAGCAACTGCAGATGCCGAAAAAACATATTGCGCTCTTTAGTTGTGTAATGAAATACAAATGTGTCTTGTGTTTACTGAACGGATTGACATTCTGATCAATCAAAGTAAACATGATAAATTTAAATATTCCAACCTGCATAAACCTTTGAGTTTGTAATGTAAACAGCATGACACGTCTAAGCAAAATCTCCGATTTGTTAATCGACCGCTGCAACACAGAACCATACATAAATGTGTATTGACGCTAAACGATCCACACAATTTACTTATCATCAGCACACTTAAAATCAGAGTTGTTTAATGATTTATTTCTAAGTTTATTGGATACATAGTAGAGCATACGAGATGGATTCGCTTTGTTGCACTGTTATTTGTTATTGTCTCACAAAAAAAGCAATACTGGTTCAATGCATATACTAATTATATATATAAACAACCTACATCGAAAAAGATGAATAATGGGACCATACCTCACTCATAATCATATCTACAATCTTTTGGTCAAATTGTTTCAGTCGTTCATCACATATAGATGCCTCTGATTTGTTTTCTGCAATGTAGCTTGATGTTGGTTTTGATGTAGAATCTGAATCTTTTTCAAATGGTGGGACGAAGTTACCACGAACACCTCGACTACAATATGAAATATAATATTGATTTATTATCATAAGCAAACGTCGACAAATCTAATAATAAACAATTATGATTTACCTATGTTATTTTTTGCTAGCCCATACCTATGGATGCTTCCCAGATGTGATATAGAAGTGAACTCAACGAACGATCTACACATCTAGCTCCACAGAAGCAGGTGAACTGGTGTATGGATATTGAATTGGTCAGTTATGACAACTTATCGTTTGATAGCATCTATCAGTATAGCTTGGAACAGGACAATACAGATAAATTATGTAACATTTTGAAATATGTAGTAGATACAAATTATTCAGCTTCAGACTTTGACACTATTTATAAGATTCAGCCAAAGATGACAACCTATTTTATACTAGATAAACATCAGTTATACATAATCACATTTTACTTTAATGATAAATTAACTAAATTTATTTTTTCGACTGATTACGGTGTAATGGATAAGTCAGCTTTGCAATTAGTATTTGTGTAAAACATAAAAAATAAATCATGTGGATCCGGTAAGCAACAAATGTTAAGCTTCCAATAGATATTTATTCAGTCATAAGCAAACATAGAACCTACCACATATGTGCATTGGTTCAAGTTGCCATGCCATATTAGGAAAGCGAGATGCAACTAAGAGTAGAACAGGTAGTAGTAAAAAATATAGGTCATAGACATGATCCAAGAAGAAACCATTAGGATAAAAAGTATGAGATAATTTTAAAACTCAAGATCTAAGACGGAATAAAGAGCGAATAGATTTGCGTCATATCACTTAACATCTACGACCAGCAGTTACAATACGAAGAGTGGATAACTATAATAGATATGGGATTAATCCTGTTTCACAGTTGTACAGAATGTACTTTTGTTATGAAGTGATGAGAAAATCCCAGATAGAAAAATATTTACTCGAAAATGTACATAACGTTAGATATTCGAACTTACCGACTTCCTAAAGATCGTTTAGAGGAGCCATACATTAAAGATGTTCTATTATTATTTTCATTTTGTTTAGATTTTAGATTTTGTTCCAGCTTGAATAATAATAATAAGTTACAAGAATGCAAAGTAAAAAATATCTCTTGGAAACAATTTATTTGTTCCTATATACTTGGTTAGTTTAACGACGTGACAAACCCAAAAGGTAGACATTCATGGCATTTTGCAACTAAATATATCAAAGAAATAGGTTATGGAATTAATTTTAAAACATCTTTAGAATCCAGCTTTGTATAAGCTGACTGTTGAAGTGAATCGCATAGTCTTCCTTCATTTGATTTGCAGGATGATGTGAACCATTGGTATAAGATCCGAATAGCTGTCTTGGAAATGATTAAAATATAGTAAACTAACCTATTCAGTGTCTCGTCTATTAACATCTTTATTATTTATTTAAATATCGTACGATTTCATTGGATATTTACCTGTATGAGCTAGTTATATATCTGGGCACCTGAGTAAATGCAGCTCTATGGAAAGTCCAACTTTAATACACCTTTTTTTCACAAGTCTAATTAATAGTTTATCTTCTTTATTTTATTACCACAATTCTATTGCAAACGTTTATAATGATGACAACAAAAGTAAATTGTAATTTCTTACAACAATATATAAAATATATACAAAAGTTAATGCATCAACAACGAAGATATACTTATATGATAAAGGATGATTCCCATTGGAAATCGACACCGTACACAAGAATGTATTTACGGGATAAAAATGATTCAGTTAGTCAGTTGTAATGTCGAACCTGGTACGCATGTACATCAGTTCAAGTTGCCACACTCCACCAACAAAGAGAAATGAAATTGTCTGGTCAAATCTCAGATAACAACGACTCACTAATTAAAAATTAATTTCATAGTTTACATTACGGACTGACTTTATTTAGACAGCCATGAAAAACCAGTAAACACTGGAGTTATTTTGTTAATGGCACTGGGGGATGGTTGTATAATATGACAAATAAATTGAAGTCAGACATTTGAACGATTGGATGCCAACGAAGTTACATAAAGCTTAAGCGCTTGCTAAGAGACCTAAAAGTCCTAGGTTCAATCCCAACTGGGGTCGTAGATACTTATTATTGAGGAGTGTCACACTGAGACGAAACAGCTATTTAGTGCTGCCTGGTTTCCTGTAATTGAATCTTCACAAATCCCTTTTAGCGAAAAATAATTACTCACCAAGGATCCTGCTGTTTGAAAAAGGGTTGACTCAGATTCAGTTACTTCGGTGTTATGGTTGTTATTACTGGAATTCTACAGAAAATGATAAATTGACAATCAAATTGAGTCTAATTTACTTTGTAGTAGCTGGTACTTTCTGATTTTTCTAAATGTCTTTTAGGAGAAGAATAATGTTTTTCGAAATCTACTGAAGAACGTTTTTGACCAACAGAAGAAAAATGTACATTTGTGTTTTTAACGGATTCGTAAACCTGTTAGTACCAAAAATGAATTAAAATTATTTCTTGTAGTACGGTAAATTACGAAATATATATATATAATATTATATTAACAACTATGAATACAACCATATTGTTTACCGTAATAATAAATTGATGACAAAGTATACTTGTGTTATTCTTTCTACATGAGTATTACTTCAGAATAATCGTAAAATATTTACAGTAAACAAATAAGAATGGCGTTGTGAAGTTGTGAGAAATGAAGTTGAAATTCAAAGAATCTTCGGATGTAGATGAAACAGCAGATTCATGGGAGCAAGGAGAGAAAGAAACCATATTAATACATAGGACAAAGAATACGACGATAAATGACTTGTTTACGTGGAATTCCTCTTAAGTAAAAGTCGAAAGATAGATATACGTAAACTAATTATAAGGTTTCAGATAATAGGTCCTTTTAACTGACAAATTTGAAGTAAATATAAGTCAATACGAAATAGAATTTCAGGAATATTTCACAGCTGAGATGGATAGTTATCGACAGGAAACTGTTTCATCACAATTATATCGTTATTTTTTTCCAGATGGTCACAAAGAGATCAATTTTTTGAGAAATCGCACGAATAAAATACACACTTCAGCTTATCAATTGAGCTAAACTGCTGTAGATCAATTAATGAAGCATGATAAATTAAAAATGAGACTTACTGACTACTAATTTTAAAAACACCTGTATAATTTAAGCAACCAACTAATTCCACTTATTCAGATATATTCTAGATCTATTAGCACCAAATACACATTTAATATGAGTAATTAACTATGTACTAAGACGATGATTTTATATTTAAGTAGTACATTGGCTTAACTCTAAGTCAGATGCTGCAAAAAAGCCAAACGTAGATGCAAGATACCAAGCGATTGTAGAATTAACTACATGTTGATTATATTCCTGGATTCACTACTTGGATGCCCGAACGATTCAGTCATTATCCATCAGCTGATAATCACATACAAGATGCAACATAAAAGTTGATATAGCTCTGGATCAGGAAGAAGGAAGAACAGCTGGTCCAGATGGATACGTTCCAGAGGTCTCTAAGGATGACGGTCCAATTTTAGCGACTACGTTGACTAATATTTTAGCTAAAATCTGGGAGTTGGGCGTAATCCCATCTGACTGGTCACAATCATTGATTGTCCCAATATATAAGAAGGGGTTAAACCATCTTGTGTTAACCATAGAGGGATTAGCTTGACTAAAATAGCATCTAAAATACTAGACTCAATAATTATCGGGCGCATAACAAAGATGTGTGAACTGCAAACACGAGAAAATCAGGCTGGCTTCAGAACTGGTTGTGGCTTCACCGACCACATATTCACCATTCGTCAGGTTCTAAAACACAGATATACTTATCGGCGTCCGACAATGATAGTTATTCTTGACTCGAAAGTAGAATTTGACTCTGTAGACCGCGAGATTCTGTGGCAGGGTCCGTCATTGAAAGGCGTACCTCAGAAGTACATGAACCACGTGAAGGCTCTTTACTTGAACACTACCAGTCGAGTCAGAGCTTATGGCGAGCTGTCATCTGATTTCGCAACCTCAAGTGGTGTCCGTCAAGGCTGTTCATTATCTCCATTTTTGTTCAATATCTTCATATATCTACTGCTAGAAACAAAGTTCTTGTTGTCTGAATTTTCAGAAATTAATCTCCTAGGATGACCACTTATCGATTTAAAATACGCAGATGATATAGTCCTGTTCAGTGACGACTGATAAAATAGTCTTTTGGTAGCACTGAGCAACAATACCAGGATGTTTGGGATGAGGTTCTCCCCCTCTAAATGCAAGTTGTTGTTTCAGGACTAGCCTGCATCAACATCTGGACCAAGGTTAGGGAGTGAAGTAGTTGAACTCGTTGACAACTTCACTTATCTAGGAAGTCTGATCAGCCCTAATGGGTTGGTGTCTGACAGTCAGTCAGTCAGTAACAACGTAGAACTTCGTACGTACGTACATCAGTTCGAGTTGCCACACCACATTAGCACAGAGATGCAGTGGTCGATTCAAATCCCGTAGTAGTAGAGGTAATAAGAGTATAAGCAGTAATCGGGAAGATTAGTGTTTGGAGATGTTACTTAAAGTGTTATACAGTGAAATAAATTTGAGAGGAGAAATAAAAGAGACAAGGAGGAATAAGGAGATCAAAATTTGGGAGAACACAGAGAGTGGATGCACCTGCGCCATTGCAAACGATTTTGAGCCATGTCATTCAGGGTCTCTAACCATCGGTTGCTATCATCTCGCGGTCCCCAACCAGGTAGTCTACACCTACCAATATGACTCAGTCTACTTGTCAGTGACTTCATGGACTTGTGCCATGTTTTGGTCTGGCCGCCCCTAACTTTCTTCCAATCTACTCCTATACCACTGAACATCGCACATCGAGGCAGTCGGTGGTTGGGCATACGTAACACATGTCCCAGCCATCTCAACTGATGAAGTTTCACTACGTCATCAATTGATTTGCCATCCTTACCTAGTACCCGTTTCCTAACAACTGCATTACTTACTCGATGGTCCCACGATATACGAGCAATATTTCGAAGACACCTATGATCAAATACTAGTAACCTACGAATATCCTCTACTCTTACCGGCCATGTTTCACTGCCATAAAGTAGGACGGAACGAACTGCTGCGCAGTAAACACGTCCTTTGGTTGATAGACGGATATCTTGCCTACGCCATAAATGACGCAAGTTGGCAAAAGCTAGTCGAGCCTTCTGTATCCGTGCTGAGATTTCGTCACACACCAGACCACAAGGGCTGATGAGACTTCCAAGATAAGTGAAGCGGTCGACACGCTCAATTACTTCACTCCCTATCATTAGTTCGGGTGTCGATGCAACCCAATCCTGAAGCAACATTTTGCATTTCGAGGGGGAGAATCGCATCCCGAACATGCTTGCATTGTTGCTTAGAGTGGTCAAAAGACTCTGCATTTTGTCAGCGTCTTCACCAAATAAAACTATGTCATCAGCATATTCTAAGTCAACAAGTGAACCTCCCAGAAAGTGTCATCTCTAAAAGTACGTCAACGACAAAGTTGAACAAGAATGGAGAGAGTGGACAGCCCTGACGAACACCACTTGAGGTAATCAATTCTGATGACAGTTCGCCATAAGCTCTCACTCTACCAGTTGTGTTCGAGTAGAGAGCCTTTATAAGGTTAATGTACTTCTTTGGTACTCCTTTCAGTGACAAACACTGCCATAGAACCTCACGATCAACAGAGTCGAATGCCGCCTTAAGGTCGAGAAATACTACCATTGTGGGGCGTCTGAATGTGTGTCTGTGTTCTAGAACCTGACGTAGTGTGAATATCTGATCTATACAACCACGTCCAGGTCGAAAACCGCCTGGTTTTCTCTAGTCTGCTCTTCACGAGCTTTGTTAGGCGTCGAAGTATTATTGAAGCTAATATTTTAGACACTATATTAGTCAAACTGATTCCTCTGTGATTGTCACAAGAGGACTTTTGTCCTTTCTTATAGACTGGCACAATCAGTGATTGAGACCAGTCAGATGGGATTACGTCCAGTTCCCAAATTCTACCTAAGACCTCAGTTAATCTCACTGCTAATACTGGACCACCATCCTTAAAAATCTCAGGAGTAAACCTGTCAGGGCCTGCTGCTCTCCCTCGTTTCAGATTTCCTATGGCTTTTTCAACTTCGTAAAGAGACGGAGGACCTACATTAACTTGCCATTCAGGTTGACTGAGATCGTGGGAAACCGAAGTGTGGCTGAAGGCCAGTTGAACTGATCCCTAAAGTGTTCTGCCCATCGATCCAATCTCCTGGATTGAGAATGAATAATATGTCCATCTTTCTCTGAGATTGTTTCGCTAACAGTCGGTTTCCTTAACAATTGTCTGCTATTACCTATTGCCGCTGCCTTTTCCATCTCTCTTGCTTTCGCTACCCACCACTGTTCACGATCATTGCGTAGACTTCTTGTCAGCTTGCGCTTAAGCTGACTCCGCTCTTCATTATGTTCAGAGCCAGGTGGAATGAGTTTCCGAGCATCTATCAGTGCGATAGATGCTGCTGAGATCCAGTGTTGCTCCCTAACCTTCTGGTTTACCTTACTAGCAGATATCACTGCTGTTTCCACAGCTTTTCGGATATCATTCCATGCTGCATCGGGGTGGGCATCACATACATGGCTGCCTAACTGTTTTCCTAGTTGTTCCTGAAATATACTCTTAGCTTGACTATCATTAAGTAGGCCCTAAGAGGTTTCCTTGCAGCGTCTTTCCTACGTCCAGTAAGACGCAAGCAAATACGCGCTCGCACTAGAGCATGATCTGAATCTAGCATGTGCTCCAGAATGAGCGACAGTCTTCTATCGAGCCCCTCCATCGGTGGCTGATAGCGATGTGATCTATTTGGGTCCAACGTTGGGACGAATTAGGGGGTCGCCATGTTAAAAGATGTTTTTCCTTATGCTTAAAGTTAGTATTTGCAAGGAACAGGCGGTTATCTGAGCATAGCTGCAACAGACGGTCGCCATTATCTGTTCTTTGAGCCACGACACCATAAGATCCACCTAGGTGTCTTTCCCTATCGCTTAGTTTACCTACTTGAGCATTAAAGTCACCGGCCACTATTACTACATCCGAGCGCCTAGCTTTTCGGAGAAGGTCGAAAGCTTTCTGTAAAACTCATCTTTTACATCATCTGAGCTGCAGTCAGTGGGAGAATAGGCAGAGACGACGAAGAGGCAACGACGAGTGTCCCTATCTTTCCGGATTCTTACTGTTCCGTTCAGTCGGACAGCGCACAAACGACTGTCTACTGGGATCCACTCTAAGAGAGCTAGTTCTGCCCTAGGACTCAATGCTATACCTACGCCGGCGAGGCCACGGGAAGCAGAATCTGGGCTTCCAGATACACTCGGATCCTGTATGCGCGTTTCGGAGACGTAGCACACATCGATGGCGCGGGATTCTAAAGTCCTAGCTAAGGAAACCTGTTGTCCTATTTGGCACAGTGTTCGGACGTTAAAAGCTCCTACGTGTAGTTTAGAGCGTGCTTTCAGGAGACCAGTAATGGCGTTCCGCGTACTCGAGGTGCGAGGTGATAAAGAGACGTGAGAAGGGTTAGTCATGGAGATAAGAGAGGTATTAGGAGGTGTAGGAAGGATTTGAATGTGACCAACTTGTTCTCGTGTGCTGTTACGGATATGAGGGCTGCTATCACTTCCCGGCTGCCCACACCGTGGAAGGGTATTTCTTGAGAAACCTGAAAAGGAAATTGGATTAGTGTTGGTTTTAACGACCTGGGAGCGTGACCGCAGTACCCAAGGGACAACTGCTTGAGGCCGGTCGCGCACGGCCTTTTCGTGGAAGGTTTTTAACGTCTTAGCTCCGTTCTTCAACGGGCCTTACCGCCGGAGACGGAAATCCGTGAGGTAAGGTGAGGTGTGACATTTTTAGGGTCGACCTTTTCTAACCCCACCCCTCCTTGTGGGAAGGCAGCATCGCTGTCATGCTGGTTGTCCGAGGGAAACACCTTACTGCTGTCACACCCCTCTACAGTCAACAGTACGACTTTGCCCTCAGACCTTGAGTTGCTGCTTTTAGTCTTATCGTTCTCCAATCGACCTGTCTGGCATGGTAGAACCTACAGGAACATATGTTACAGCCAACATAGCTCGGTTTGGTCATCACGATAGGCAAGCCCGACCACCGCGTCAAGGTAGCAGCTTCGGTCGAGTTGGTGTCTGACGCAATCTGAGCACGGATTCAGAAAGCTCGCTTGGCTTTTGCCAACTTACGTCACCTATGGCGAAGACGAGATATCCGTTTATCAATAAAAGGACGAGTATACTGCGCGGCAGTTCGTTCTGTTTTAATTTACGGCAGCGAAACATGGCCATTAAGAGTAGAAGACACTCGTAAGCCACTAGTATTTGACCACAAATGCCTTAGAAATATTGCTGGCGTCTGCTGGGATCACCGGGTAAGTAATAGTGAGGTTAGACGCAGGGTATTAGGGAACGATGGTAAATCAGTCGATGAGGTTGTGAATCTTCATCGACTGAGATGGTTGGGCCACGTGTTACGTATGCCCGAACATCGATTACCACGACGTGCGATGCTAACCGGCGTTCGGGATGGTTGGAAGAAAGTTAGGGGCGGCCAAACCAAAACTTGGCATCAGTGCTTGAAGTCACTAACTTCTAGTCTGAGCTATGTTGGTAGATGCAGACTACTTGGTTGGGGTCCGCGTGACTATCGTAACCAATGGTTGGAGACTCTTGGTGACATGGCTCAAAACAGATCACAACGGCGTAGGTGTATACACTCTCTGACTTCCCTTATACTGTGAGACTACACTTGCTTTATATCTTTCTTTATATCAACTGATTCTTTCTTCCTGGATTATATCCTTATACACAATGTTTCTTTTATATATTACTACCATTGAAGTAACTGCTTTTAAGAATTCGGTGTTCATCTTGTTGTGCAAATGAGGTGGCAACTTGGACCGGTGCATATATGTGCCTGGTCCTACGTTGTAGCTGACTGACTGAAATTGATTTTCAGTCGTTGAATAACAATCCTTTGCAAAGACAAAGGTCGTTAAAGAACTTTACAAGCTCAAATATCACAATTCACCATGCCAACTAACTCGCACCCTGTTAAAGGATTGACGAAAACTATGGTGAGAGGACTAACTAGATAGTTTGGAAAAATCTGATATACGGAGAGCTTTCCATTACATTGAAGTGAAGCGACCGTTTTTCCGATATATAAAATAGACCTATGCACTATATGCAACAATCATCACGGTACAAGCCTGTTCTATATTGTTTTGGGGCCTTTGGCATCCATTATATTAAAAAGACTGAAAAGTTATTCCAACTATTCCAACAGAAACGGGACAATTTTCTCTCAGATATTAGGAACACTGACTATATCTTCACGCTGCGACACCTCTACACTTACTGTAGGCCAATAACATTTTTTCGATATCAAAGCTAACTAGTTTGACAGAAAGCTCTGTGATCGTCTATTGAAGAAGAATATGCCTGAGAATCTTATTAACATCTTTAAGAATATAAATGAACACAATATTTTTTTCTCTTATTCTAATCTAACAGTAAGGTTAAACGGGGTTGATCAATCTCATCACTCTTCTTTAATTTTCCCACTAATAATATTCTGAAAACAGCTCTTAAAGAAGTACGTGGTGATGATGATGTGAATCCATTGAATAGAGAAAGACACTTCGATCTCTAATATACAAATGACATTGTTTTACTGTGAGGTGATACACAAGTTATCCAATTACTGTTCGTAAGTAAGTGACGTGAGTTGTATGTTGACATCTCAAAGTACTTCTGTAAGCCTGCTCTTGCACGCATCTTTTGTGATTAACTGTTGGGATCAGTAGAAAACCTTGTGTCCGGGTGGTTATATGAGTACTGTTAGTTACGTAACAGATGAGATCAATCTAATAGGAGTTGGAGCACCTATCCCCATCTACGTCATTTTTGGTGTCATCTTGATACTAATCTGACTGTAAAGGCACGGCATAAATAAACAGATCTGAAGGGGTGTACAACGGGATTAGAGAGCGGTTGAATGTTGCACAACTCTTCATATGGGCAATTATACTTGTACTAGTAGTCTATTGCTCATATTTTAGATGAATTTGATACCTGGTTAGAATAACCTTCTTCCTCGAACAGTTCAGTTAACACGCTACAAACTAATAACAGTTAATTTTGAAAAAATGAGTAACATACACTTAGTAACATCAAAGTCACTAGGTAATGATTGATTTTGGAAGGGACAGGATTGTTTGACAGTCTGTAGTGAACGGTGAGAACAAGCAAAGCTTACAACTCCTTCAAGTGCATTTAAGGCCATGTCGACTGTCATCGCGCTACGCCAGTGGTTGCTCTCTGAAAACGCATATATAAAAAGAACATGACAAACCATTTTTACAGCCTTCAGCGAGCCTGAGTGATCCCTCAGCGTAATTATTAATCCCTACAAATCAGAAAGCACCATTCATTACCTACCATTCTTCATGTTATCAACCAACTCAGCATATTCACTAAGAAGCAAGTCAACATCAAAAGCATTACGTCTAAGAATGTAAAATCCAGTCATTAAAAAACCTTTCAGGAAGTTGGGAGAAAAGTATTCTCCGTATATATTCAGCTCTATTTTCTTTATTTACTTCAGACATTATTGGAGTAGGACACTGGAAGAATCCAACTGATGACTGTTAATGACACAAAAATTCGTCCAATCCAATAATATTATGATCAAGAAACCAACTGAAGCATCTGAAAGCAAACAAAAGAATAGTAAAATGGATTTAGTCAACAGCGATTAGGGTATATCGTTCATTATCCCAAACAACACTCCTGATGGTATAAGATTACGCGACTCGCAGCCACTCATCCACAGTATTTAACAACCAACAACCTCAAGAAACTAATAACAAGTAAAACATTGAAACCTCGTCATTGTATAACTACGGTAAATTAGTATAGCCATCATATTTGCTGAGATGTCCTAATAAAAATAATGGAAACTTATGAGATGGTGAAGATTTGTAGCTCAGGTGGATGATTTTGATGGGGCTTTGTTCTCTGAGCAAGATGGTTTGGTCGTGGAGTTTTCATCGTTTTTCTGAACGAAAATAGCTGAGCAAAGTGGAAGAAAAATGGTACACTTAATGATAACGAATGTACACTACAGGATCCGCAAATACCAACACGTCATAGAGGATCAAAAAATGAAGCTACAAAGGACACTTACGTCAGAACATTTGGCAATCTTGACAACAGCCATCGAGATATCATGCAAACGACACAGAGAACAAAGAAACACCCCCTTAAAGGAAAAACTAATCAAGATCTTAAAACCACCAATGGAAGAAAACACAAACAACTGAGTGATCAATCTATCAAAACAACCACTAACAAATACCGAAAAACACCTACTCCGAAAGGGATTAAACTACAATACAAGCAACGCCTCAAAACTGGGATTCTTCGCAGCACTAGTCATCACTCAATACTTCCGGAATCAGTGAAGAAACACAACAAGAAGTAAGGCAAACTATAGTACCGCCAACTCAACAGGTGAAGGAAAACAACCAACTGACCCCACAAGAACTAAAAGCTTTGAAGGAACTCAGAACTAGAAAGGATATTGTCATAGTTCCAGCGGACAAAGGACGCACCACAGTAATTATGGACAAAGAATACGTCAAAAAGGACGAATTACTTGAAGATAAGAACACATATAAACTGATGAATATAAATCCCGTCAAAAAATTAGACAACCGAATCTCAAAGACCTTAAGCAAGCTAGACAAATCAGGAGAAATAACAAAACAAGACCAATGGAGAATGAAATCCAATGAACCAGTACAAAACTGCTGATGTCGTTCAGAAGAACGATGAAAGCTCCACGACCAAACCATCCAGCTCAGATAACAAAACTCTATCAAAATGAAAACTTATTCATACGTTTCATGTCTTCGATTCCTAAGTGTCAAAATTGGTGATTACAAAGTAGCATAAGCCTATCATGTGACATACTTATCAATAACTAGGCAATTAGATTGCTGGCAATCTAAAGTCTGATCATTTTTGAAATAGCATTTCGAGTTCGGGTTTAGGTGAACAGAATTATAAGATTTAATTTATTTCCCAAGTTACTAAAATGTAAGTAATTCAGACCTACTTTGTTTTAGGAGCAGTTGGATCTCTAACGTTGTATATGTTTTTCAGGATTTTTATATTTATTTCTATATGGTTTGTAGATTTTGTAAGACAATTAACTTCATAAACCAATCTATTTTGCAAAAGCCTAATCCGAAAGTGTGATACCAAGAATTCTCTCCATTTTATGGATATAAATGGGATTAAAAAGGCTACATTCATCTCCATTTTCTTAGGTTTCATGGGTCCTAACTATTTGACAATATCGAAAAGCCTAAAACCGGTGAGCTTATTGATTGCAATTTCTCTCTCAACTGTTATGTCAGTACTATTACGACTAAAAAATGCTTAGATGGACTGACTTGGTATTGAAAACACTAAACCCAACGATGCACAGTTAAATTTTTAAAAATTGCAATCAGTAATATTTAACATATTTGCCATATCATACAACTGTTTTGCATTTATGGTTTGAAGAACTTTCGGGAGGTTAAAAGCCAAAATCAGAAACATCAGTTCTGGGGACCGAAACCACTGAAGCCTGATTACCAGGGAAATTTGTAGCCGCAAAAATCCTAACTCATAAGTTTTTCTCTAACTTAAAATCTACACAATTCTAATGTATCGTTTACCTTAAGTATAGTTTATGTGGACGATGTTAGTGATGACTACCGTCAAAGAATTTTCTAAGACAGCTCCCTCAGAACTTATCCAAAACCGACAATTTTCCACAAAATAAGGAGATTAATCTCCTTATTTTGTGGATCCAATCTCCATGGATTCATATTTATTGGCCATTGACCACTACGGTTAATTGTTCTGAATGCATCAAAAACTGACATAACTTAAAAAACAAGACGCGAAAAAGTAGTTCCTATTGTTGAGAGACGTGAAGACTAAGAAGAACCCACACACTAGCTAACCTGTGCAGGGACCTCAAGGTCGCACTGAGCGATTCCAAATAACGAGGCGTTTGACAAGTCTTTCAAATCTCGTTAAACAAAAGGAAGAAGAGCAAAAGACTCGAGGTTCAAGTTAACCTTCTGAATTTCTAAAGATATTATTATTTCGGGATTCCAACTGAAAAATCTTCGTTTTAAATCAATTGCCTAACTGGACAATTATTATTGTCTTTAGTTGTAAGGAAAGGTTTGTCGAGCTGTATTATTCTTTGTAATTTGTAACACTGTGAACGTCCAATCTCGCTTTGAATGTTTCAACACCACCATTATTAAGGAGGTGAATGAGATGCAAATGGTTTCACAGTTCATTTTTGCATATAACTTCGATATGGGTAATAAGATTACTAACATGACCACAACTCATAAACAATTAGAAAAGAAAGTTAGTGTCCACTCGTCAGCATGGCCGAAAGCAAAATATGCCCATGTAGTACATGCTTGCTGTTATTATTGATGATTTTGTCTTCCAGATTAAACGTTATTTATCTCCAAAAATTATCTCGTATAATAATTTATTACTTTATTACTTTAGCTGAGTTTCGCGGCCAGAATGGAGATATTAGTGTTAGAAATTTGTGTTTTAGGTTGGATTGCTCGTTCATTTTTTTTGCCACGTATTCGGCCTGAATTACTTTGGTTTTATACGGAGTCAGTCTGTAATGCAGTAGGAATTCAAGGATTAACTCATCAATACTTGTTATTTGATTCTAGTTCTTCTGGGGTTGTGTCGTATCATACACTGAGAGCTTTAGATCCCCATCGTGTTACTATGAACGACTCACAACGTTAGTAGTTCACTTGATACCATGTTTATGATGCTAATCCGTTGACTTAATTGCTTCAACCTACAGTTTACAAACAGCTACCAATATCCACGTTCATCACCACCATAATTAAGGACTTGGATAATATGTAAAAGTTCTTAACACTCATTCTTCCATAAAAATCTGATTATGATCTATTAATGACTTGGTAAACGGTGGATTTCACTAGCCTGGATTAGTAATTTTACAAATAACCACATTAAGCTTACTAAACATTCACACAGTTTGTCAGCAATAAATATGTTAAACTACTAATAAGCTACAATAAATGTCATGTAACAAGCAAAAACATTACGAAAATTAACGTGAGATGAAAAGAAAACTGTTTTACCTGTAAATAACGACATCCCAAAATCCTCGATGATATGTTACATGTGCGCGAAAACCCACGGCGTAACAGCCTGCCGTGCCTTTCAACAGAAGGTTGTGATATTAAATGCTCTGGTAGAGAATTCCAGCAATTCTCTGCTGAGTGCGAGAAACGGAACTCCAGATGTAAACGATTGGATCGCAGTTTTTAGACTTTTCTAGAATGAAATGACTTACGAATAAGAACATGAAGCTCTGGAGTTCCTCGTAGTTTCGAGTTCGCCACTCATTATGGCTCCTAGATCTTTGCAGTTGTAGTGTCAGTTATTATGTTAAGCCCATATACCTTATTCTAACTTTCGGACATTCCATTTTATTCATTCTACTCGAGCCATACTTTGACCTTGTCAATTATTCGCCTATCAATCTAGACTGTTTTTATATGAGCGTATATGTGTGTACACTTCATGTCCCATGATTCATCACATGTCTGTAGCTTTACTTTGTCTGCCTATAAATATTGAGTAACGCTTAATTAAAATGTAGTTGGCTTCCCAGCCATCTTCCCTGTGCGTCATTTTGCTTGGCTCTGTTTCATTCACTTCATATACAAAATATATGTATTCACAAATCAATTCTCGTTATTCGACTTATTTAATTCAGTTATTGGATAATGCGATTTAAGTCGACGATGATATACGAGAATCAGCGATAACAATCATTCGTACGATCTAAATGGAGTCAGATCAAACGGGCCACTAAACAGTCCATTAACTAAGGTAACAAAACTCCACATGCTGTGCAGTGATATGAATCGTCCCAGTTATTATATTGCATCACTCTACTCTTGTTAGAGTTAACTTGTAATGACCACCTGCTCATCCATGCAGTCAGTGAAATAGGATCATCCTGTGATGCCATTCTATCTGACATACTTTCTATGAGTCTTCCAGTCTTTATATCATCGGCGAAGTGTAGAACGGATGACATTGCTACAGTTGGTAATTCACTTACATAAATAAACAAATAAAGGTGACCAACGATTTTACCCTGGGGAACTCCACCTTTTTTCAGGCTATCATGCGGAGAGATCTCCATTCCCTCTTACATGCTGTCTCTTATCATTGAGATAGCCACTTATCTAGTTTATGATTAGAGACATTGTCAAATGCTTTACTTACATCTGTGAAGATTACACCTACAGAAATATTTCTATCTTTCGACGAAGCCTAGTTGTTTATTGCAGCTAGCAGATTCTCCGTGCATGATGCGACTTTCATAAAACCGTATTGCTCTACGAATAAAAGATTCTGCTTGCCACATAGTTTAAAAGAAACTAATTGAATAGTCGTTCCAGTTAGTTTGACAACTATACGGGTCAGACTAACAGGTCGGTAGTTACTAAATAAGCCTCTGCTTCCCGTCTTGTACAACGCACTAATAATTGTGTCTTTCCAGTCTCTTGGCGATCTAGACAGCCGCAAAGCATATCAAACAGTATAGACAGAGGTTTAGCGAATACATTCATAGTTCTAAGACTAATATCATCAGGACCACTGAAATTATCTGGTTTGAAATATGGAAAGAGTCATGAGACGGTTCCCTTCTCAATAAACCCAGGATTCATCGGCAATTTGTCATGATCACGACTAATTATTGCTCGTTCACCACCGCCCTAGCAAACTGTGATAATTAGGAGTATTTGAATCGTGGTACGAACTAGGGATCCCAGAAACATTGCAATTTAGTCAAAATTATTAGATATATACGAACGAATGCATTGTCTTTAATGTTTAAAATCAAGCATTCCACAAATACAAAGGAATCATTAGTTCATACAAGCACCACACAAACTCTTTACTAAAATGTTTTGGTAAAGCTTCGGCATTTGTGACATCATATCTTGCCAACATAATCAAATTTTCCTGCGCCAAATGTGATGGGATTCTTTACCTCCTCCGAGTTTACCCCTCTACATATGAGAATGACTTTCTCGGATTGTTTTCACAATCTCTAACCAATTATTTTTCATTTTTGTCTTGTTGATCAATGCTTTATAAGTATTCCTATTTTGCAATAAATTAATCTCTACTGTTCTGAACATGTAGATGTGAACGTATTCCAGTGCTTTTTCCTACGTCCAAGTTTCTTGACTTGCTTAGTTATTCATGATGGACCTTATTTAAACCTACATGGTACTAAGAGTGATATAAAACGGTGCGTTACTAGATTAAGCCCAACTTTAAATAGAGATCACGTCCCTTAAACTGATGAGTAGGTGTTTACTGACCAGCATGTTGTTGCAGCTCAATCCTGAATGGTTGATAGGTTTCTCGCCACGTATTCAGGCGAGGTTTAACCTGATCGTATATTGTGCCACACTTTTTTAACGTGATTGACAAAACAGCATGGTCGCTATTTGCTAACGGTGGGAGAACATTTAGATAGACAATACAATCGATCACATGAGTGATTACCCATTCTAACAAAGATCTCTAGTTTGAAACAAAACTTTTGGGTTCGAATACATGCTGTACTAAAGCATAATCCATTACCTTTATCAGGAACCTACCATCGAAGGATTTTACGGATCCTACGGTGTCCATGTCAGTCTCACTAATGCAATGTGCATTAAATATTCCGTTATCAGGCATCCATTATTTTTAATCCATAGCTGTATGTGCTCTAAAACAAAGTCATCAGCTAAGCCGATCGGGTTACGATAGATGACGCCAAGTACAGGTGTGCAATATTCAAAAGTGAGTTCACGGTTAATGTTTTCTTAAGTTCCACTATCATTTGGTTCACAAACAAAGGAACGGATACTTATATTATTAGCTATGCATGTTAGGACTACACCATACTTTATGCATCTTTTCCTAACACTTCTTAGGTAGCTGTATCCGGATAACTCTGGAGTAATGTCGAAGCCATGGACTAACCAATTTCCAATCATAGTCGGGATGACTAGCTTTAAATCATACATCCAGTACATATAATTTATTTCCTAGAATATGAGAATTTGCAGATAAAACTTTTAAATAGAACGACCTATCCATGCAGGCCTTGGTAGCAATCGCTTCCACTACTTGACTACTCAGAAACCCACTAAGCGGAGATTTTCTTCACCATTTATTGACAGGTTCCTAGTTTAGCTATTGTCGCCTTCTTTTTTATTCTATCTTCTAGAGAAATATGAGGTCTTATTCAAATATTGGTATTATCGTGACTCCGTTGTTTCTCCAACACCGGGATTGCTTTAAGGAGTCTGTGTGGTCGGATTTCAATAACTCGGTCGGTCCTCTTACCTACTCTTACTAACTTCACGACCTAAACTCCTGTAGGGTTATCTGGCAATATGCTGCGAAAAAATTCCCCAACCTTTTTCATATCATCAGAATGTCTACGTTTTGGATAAGAGTCATTTGATTCTAGCAAATTACTTGCAGTAATTTTCGATGGGATTAATCTTTCGTCATACGGAGCTTATTAGAAGTTGTTCATCCGTTGATATATTGGGGGCTCATCATCGTCCTTTATTTTCGTACTTCAGACTGTTATCTACGAACAACCATTGTTGCACTATCGCTTGAAATATAACCATTGATTGTCTATAAGTTCGTTTATTACTCAACGGCGATTAAAATAAAGAAAATAATGAATGGAAAGAAATTTTTTCATTAAAAGGACTGAACCAGGCCAAAATCAACATGAATTATTCTACATAATTTAACGGCTAAGTGATCGTTCTACCCGATGTAGTTATTATTTTAGCTTCGGGTGTATCATGTGACAGGAAGTTCGAAGACTGTATTTCTGTAGTACTTTCTGCACTGATACAGGCACGAAACTATTTATATTTATTAACTGTAGAATAATCCTAACAACATTTGTTTTTTCCATCAGTGATAACAGTTCCCAACTTTTTGGCTTTAATAATAGTTAAATTTTTATTATTCCTGCTGAATACTTGTTGCTGATGGCATTTTATCAGTTGTCTAAGCAATTTTAAGAACCGGAACAATCCACTTGTCACTTGTGGCTTATACATTACCACACTTCAATCTGTCAGATAAGAAAGATCTTCCTGGTAAGATTTCGTTTGTTCCTTAACTGTACTAATTAAGTGGTATAGCTTGGTCATTAGGTCAGAGTGATACAGGCTTTTGAGTCATTAAGTTGTGTGATGTTAACCAATTATCACATTGTCAATATGGTAGCGCAATAATAGCTCAACTAAAGATGGAAAGTATTAATTGAAGGACATAAGTATTCTCACGATATTGGCTCTACAAAGAGATATCTTACTTCAAAAACGCATATAACTATGTCGTTTTACCATTAATTTAACAATGTCTTGTGTCGATTGACAGAATATATGGTGAACAAGCAATAGTTTAAATACGTCTTTTTAGGCCCGTATGACAATATTAATATAATATAAACTTACGAAAATAGATAATATACTAATAAATTCTTTGTATGTTATGAATCAATGAAAAGCAGTTTCGTGTATATTGAAGGATGGTATGAGAATAAGATACATAATGACTTATTTTCATATTCCTATATTTAGGATTTTTACAAATGAATACTTGAGGCATTACAAAGTTCGGAAATTCGTGAAAAGTATGCTTAGTAAACAAAATAACAAGGATTAAGTTTAGGAGATAAGTGAAAAACATTTACTATCCCTGTAGTTCAAAATAAAAATTGATCTTCTTTGGTGCATATATGCATGTGTAATGTGCTAAACGTATGGTTTCTTCAGATAGGATGAAAACATTTATTTGAAACAAGGAACCTGCTTTCTAAGCGTTTTAGGAATTGGGGTACAATATTAATACACATCGGGTAGTTGTGAATGTTGAGAAAGTTTATACACTGAGTCAAAAGTGACCAATCAAATGAATTTAGTTTTCGATTGGCTTAACAAATAAGATCTGTATTTGAAATAATAAAAGTACTGTTTACGTTAGTATCTTTTTACAATTATTTACAAAGATATGTCTATAAATTATCATACAAGTGTATGGTCTTCATTTTCAATATTACCACATGTAGTTCACCCAATACTTCACATGAGTTCAGTTAGGAAGCATAGTAAACGTTGGAATAAACAATCAGAGGACAAGATTTATGAAGATGACGGTGATGATGTTAATGAAGAACATATAACAGACATTTTATTAACATTTGTGCTGGCTGTTGATTCTGAAACTCTGTTAAATAGAGAATCTACTATCACACGACCAAAGTCAGTTAACTCAAGCTCATCTAGTTTATCTAACGGACATAACAATTTTATGTATTTTCATCTAGAATACTCAATAATGAATAAAGAAGATTTTTTATTTTCTACAGATGTGGTAGTATTTTCAAAATCCATTGCTAAAATTTACCCAACCAACTGTTCATCAAAACTAATAAATCCCTGTGAATTTAACGACACTTTATGGATTGTATGGACCGAACAAATACCAATAGTGATTACGGATGAAATAATTATTGACTTTTGGAACTTAACACAAACTGGTGGCATACATGTTAAATGTTGGGATCAACGAGAAAAATGTTCAATTCAGACAAGATTTGATAGACCAAGATCTGTCAATATTAACAGTAACAAACAGTCTGAAGATAGTTTGAAGGATGATAACAAGTTAAGTGAAGTTCAATCTATAATAACCACGTTAAATTCTTATCGTAAAAATTCAACGAATGTACAGATGAATAGTTCGATTGCTGAGAGTGTTTCTAAGAGATGTAAAACAACATTACAATCAAAAACAAAAAAGCATATAAAAGGTAAGTTTAACTATTTCTGGTGTTACAGATGAAAGAATTTTCAGCGAAAAATATCTTTGAAAAATTTCACTAAATGTCATTATTGATTAAATAGTAGGTTAACAATATAATTTACATAATTCCCAGGGGAATGTGTTGTTAGGAATTGGAAAGATCCTTAATAAATAGTAGTATTCGTGTTTCGTTATTTTGATGAATTTAATTGGATAGATTATAATTCCCAGAATGTCCGTCAACAAACTTTGTACTTTATCTTTCAGCTGTGAATTTTACTTGAAAAATCTCGACAATCGACTGTATTTTTTACTGTTCAACTACATACCTGTTTACGATCGCTCCTATGAAATATATTCCATTGTCTTCATACAAACAGTGATCAATAAAATCAAAAGAAACTACTTAATCGTCATTTCATAAGTAAATTTGATAATAAAACTGATCATAATTGACTAGTAAGCCTGAAAATGTATCACCACTATGCACTATCTTGTAATACCTTGTAATGGGCATTACTTACAATCTTAGCAAACGTGACTAGGTGATCAATCATATTTCAAAATTTCCTACTGGAATATTGTGACAATTAGAAGTGTTTGAATTATTATACAAACTAGGAATTCCTGAAATAGTGCAATTTACAGCAAATAGAACTAGGCATACACAAATAAACTTACTGTATTTGGGATTTGAAATCAGGCAATTATCAAGTACAAAGGAATCATTAGTTCGGACAAACATCACACAAATTCAGTTTAAATTTCATTTAAACTGTTTCATATCTGAAAGATAAACATCAGGTAAGTATCAGACAGTGTCGCTATATTGAACACAATCTAATTAAAATTGTGTTTCTAAGTGGTGTTAATAAGGTTTGACCTAGAAATTTATTATCATAACCTTAGGTTTTTCGAGGAAATATTAACGTATTTAAAAGTCCTCTCATTTCTTTTATAATGAATGCTTGTTAGCTTCTTCCCAATATTAGTTCACTTCCCTGAGTGATATTTATTGATTTAGTTTATCAGTTTTATTTATCTAGTACTATCTACTTAGACTGACTAGTTAATTGTTAACTAATAACTTCATATAGTCCAGTCATTTTTGTCACGTAACAAACTCGAACTTCTGAGAAGTTAGAATCATTATGTGTGGATTCACTGATAAGATGTAGTTAGTGATATAGATCATCTACAGATAGTATGCAAATTATTATCATTCTGAAATCACTTAAAACTGTTAAAGGAACTGGTATTTCCATAATTATTCTTAGAAATGTATTTGCATAATTTCCATGAATTAATTATGCAAATTAGATCCATGACGTAAAGCAATTTAATGGTTCAATAATACAAAATAAAAATAATCTATAAGTTCATAGTTATATAATACACCCTTGTGGGCCAGGGTAATTTTACATTGGTTTTCAGGAGAACCATATACTGGTCGGCGGCTTATGCTCCATTAGGAGTAACAGGCTTAAGTAAGTAAGTAAGTAAGTAAGTAAGTAATATACCATATAAGCTTTAACGCTACAATCTGAATAGTACAGCTCAATCCTGTGGCTCAACCACAGAGGTACCGAGCACCATGGTGGACCAAAAAGTAATCTAGCATAGATTAAATTCTTGACTAAAAGCATTTTTAAAATATATTCAGTGAACAGATTGAAGAAGTTTGATCCCAGTCATTTTTGTCCTACCAATCATGTCCGTGAGTTAAAAACACCTATGTCATATTGTCCCTTCATTAAAAGTCACGTTGATAATTTCCCTTTAGTTTTCATGTTGTGTGATTAACATTCAATTTCTAAATACATCTATATTGCTTATGTTAAATTTCACTTCGTTATCATACGAATTGAGGATGTGGGTTGATTTTTTTTGTCGAATTGTTTCCGTTTTTTGGTCTGTCGTAGATCATTCGATTTCATTGAAATATCGATCCCAAATAAATATGTATATTTAATTAGATTTAACCCTTGTGTGATGAATATGATACCAACAGTCAAATAAGAAATCCAGTATGATGTGTGTTTTTGTTCACATGGATATTTCATGCATAAACTAAAAAAAGATGCAGGAAGACTGTATGAAATTTGAGTTTAAACAAACCGTTTTTGAACCATTGTACGTTTATATTGTCACAAAGTGGTATATAATTGTTAAATGGTCATATATATATCAGAAAGTACAAACATATGTGTAAGTCGAAGACGTAGATGTATAAGAGTGAATAAGGACAGCTAGAAGAATATGTACAATATAGTCAATAGATAAAACAATGGCAACAACATGGAAATAAAAGATTAGATGCAAGACCAAAAAATCATTAAGCCAATTCAATTGACTCTATCGAAATAAAAATAAATTTACATGAGCTTTCGCTAAGCTATAAGCGCATCACTTTCCTTAATTGATTATTTGCATATTGACATTGTAATTACACTTATTACAACAAAATATCATATAGGGAAACAAGAGTTTTATATATGCATGATAGGAAACATGATGGTTGTCGATAGAACATTTTATACTTAATATCAGTGAAAGCAATCTATATAATATGGAAGAGAAGAATAAATAAAATCATATTGATGAAATAGAGTTTACTTAGCTTCATATTCTATGTTTAGGAAAACTTAAAAAGACAAGAATACAATGTTTAAGACGATTTTTCAATTTATGTTTTAGGCGGCATAAATTCCACTCTAGATAATCTCACTTTATATATACTTCTAGTTTTCACAAATGTATATAACTAACGTGATAATTAGCAAGCATCATTCACCACTGTTTGATCACATGTTCACTTAAGTAAAGTAGTAATAATAATAAATAATATATATTTAATCCTTTTCAATACTTATCATATATCAGTTATCTAATTACTTGTATCTCAGACTTAATAACAATAAAAATTTCTATGGTAATCTTTCCGGTTACTAACATGAAATCAACTCTACGTAACTATCATATGTATTGTGGGAGGGGGGCGTCTTTTCTACTAATTAAGATTGCATAATGTTTATTATTATAACCTAAGTATGTTCAACTTAAAACGTTGATATGAATAGTTTAAGTTCATAATGACTGATGACAAGTTGTTTCTGAATAAAGTCAGTTTATATTTTTCATCAATGATTTATTTTTGTTTTAAAAGAAATCTATTAAAGATACTTATAGTAGGACTGTCATTATCATCATTATTCATTATTAATAGTTTGCAAATATTTAAGTATGATGAGAGTTTCCTCAATAGAAAGCACCATAATTCAAGATCACTGAAGTATACGAAAAAGGGGATATCTCCATTAAGCATGAGGGATAAAACGTAATAAAGCTAGGCTCTTCATCATTTTCTTATTGTTCGTTAACTAGAATACTATGGTATTTATATTTTAAAAACAACTGGATAAAAATCCTAGGAAATCACTTACAAAGTGAATTATATCGAGAATTCATTGAATTAAAATGGCTTGCATTTTCGTCCATTTCAAAACATCACACAATTAGTGAGTAGTTGTGTTCTATACTAAAAAAATATACTCAATTTACTTGATATTGTAAGAATGTTTTAATAGTTTAAATCAAGCTGGTTTAATTGAACATTTTAAAAATATACTTTTATTTCACAGACGTAAATACATCTAACCAATCTTGCAGTAGTACAATGAAAGTATTATCTGCTGGTCATAGTTCAAGGAAAACTGACAGAATCCAAAATCCTGTTGAGAGTTGGGGAACATGTTGTTTAGTATTACAAACAGGACATTTATTTCGTATAAATCCACCAGAATGGATTGTAGCGTGTAAACCATTGACACATACTAATAATCTATCATTGAATAAGCCACCACTATCTTCAGTGACTTTAGAATTAGAGAGTAATTTTAAAGATATATTAGTTGGTATGAAACTTTCTAATTCATTGATGTCTGATCGACAGAGGCAGAAATTTCAGCCAATCATATTGACTATCGACAGATTACGTAATCTTCCCGTTGCTCCATATAGAAGCTATGAAGAAATGAGAAATAAATGTGAACCAATACGATTAGTAACTACATTCTCTGATGTATGGAACCATCAGTCAGGTGAATATGTTCAAGACAAAGAAATATATATGGATGAAGTACAGGTAAATTTACTAAATTATGGGGATAAATTTGTGCATGTACCAAAATATAAATTTATGACAATATTACATCTCAAAATAATGACTTTCACATAGTATCCATATCTAAAATAATAACTTGAAAATTTTAAAATTTGACTACATTTACAAACTCAAGCAGATATAACTGAAAATGTCATTTGGTTTAAGATATTTAATATGAGTTCTGCTCAAAATTAGTCTCTGTTCGAATATTTAAATGGTAATATCCTAGACTGAGATAATGAATGACGTATGTTTTATTCTAGCGGTGGACCTCAGTCTAGTCAAGATTGTGAATAAACCTTACTGAATGTTTCACCCAGTATGAAAGCCAAATCCAAGATCTTTCTATAATTACTTTCAATCAATTAAAAAATTTGGCGTCAGTGATAAATAATTGAATAGCTAACATGAAAATAAGTACAATCACATTTTAAAAACTAGAGAAATTGTTAAGTTAAAACAAAATTGAAGGAAGCTATGTATTTCAATTAAAACTATTCTATTGAGTATATAGTTAATGATGAAATTAGTTCACTAAAACAGATTGTTATAAAATTAGCAGATCATTTAATAACTGGTTACCTAATAAGAATAAAAAGACAAGTGCAATTTATAAAGGAGGAAATAATCGTTTTCTAAACTGGATGGTCAAACTCCGAAGCTTCCATTGTCATCCTAGACAACATCATTAAAGTCTATTTCTAATGGTAGTGAGTATTTGGATTATTCCACAGGTAATTAGCCAGTCTATTCTGGTTAACCTTCTTCTCACTAGTTATCAACGTAGATTTTGTTTTTGATTGAGATCATGAACCGATTGATGTTAGACCACCTTTGGAAACCTGGAAGCACTGCACGGCCGTTTTGTCCTATTGCGGGACTCCTCAGCAGTGTGCATCCACGATCCCGCTCGCGGGATTCATCTTCATGTGACCTTGTGTGTCCGTGGTCTGTTATGTTCAGTTGTCCCACATACGTATATGGCCATAAGTGACTGATTAACAAAATCCAACTTGATAAACTAGATTTATACAGAAGTATCTAATAATTATGAACTGATCCTAGTAATTTTCTTGATATGAAATTTTGACATTTTCTTAAAGACATCTATGTCTATAATTGTCTACTTGTACAAAACTTAGTGAAGTTATTGCATTAGCTTATGAGTGATATGAATTTCAAAAGGTTACAAAATTCTTGTAGTAATGTATCATAGGATCATTTGATTTTTATTTTCAGGAGTGACTTTATAATTTACTAAATGCTTTTTGATGAAATTACATAGGTAAGAATGTTTATGAAAGGTGGATATGAAAAAGATCTTTTCATTATTCACCCGTTAAATGTATTGTACTGAGCTTTGATTATTCAAAAATAATGTCTATACATAACTTCTTCTTTGAGCTATTAAGTTGTTGCTAACACTGATTTGTATGACTTGGTTTTCTTGTATTCTTATGTCTTCAATAACTGTCCACTTGTCCAACTGAATAAAATATTCAAGAATAAAACATATTCATAGTAAAATTCATTGAGAAACAATTGATAATAGAATATATATGTATGTTACTTATGAAAAAAAAAAACAATAGTACAAATTCTCTAGTGAAATTCATTAACTTTATGGTTAAACATTCTATATTCAATACTAATAGAAATAGTTTAACCTTTATCTAAATTATTGATTTAGTAACTAAGGTTAACTGATCAGTGCAATTGAATTGATAAAATATATTGTACTTTATTTTGTAGTGACTTAAGCTTCATTCATTGTGTAAATAAATGTTATTATTATTATTTTATAATTAATTTTAATCAACTTCAGTTTAACATTGTTGATATTCAGTTTAGAATCCTTGAATTAGATGCAACATACATTCTAGATTCTATTGACTAGTTCTATTCAAAATAATATCACTATCATTATTGATAGTGAAAATAATTATCAAATTAAAGAGAGCAAGAATAAAGATTGATACAGAATAATATGAATTCATTTTATTTTGTTAGGTTCTCATCAGCTTCTTACAACCTAAAATAATTGAAAATCAACGTTATTACAGATATTGACATACTTATACATCAGAGAGCGATGAAGGATGAATATATGTATCATAATGTAGTGAAGATTCCGATAGAGTTAATGAGGTCATAAAATTTTGTTTCGAATAAATAAATAGTTTGGGAGGGAAAGTTACAGAACATTGAAATAATGATTAGAACTTATGGAGTTAACAAACATTAGATAATTGTGTAATTAAGTAACTGAAAATAGGTGGCAATAAAGAAAGATTTGAATTGAAATCAGCCAATTATGAATGATGTAATGTAAACTTCAGAAAGAGGTTGGGTTAATGAATGACGTTATAATAAATAAATAAATGAAAAAAGGGGGTTGATGTTACCATGGTAAAGAAAGATTTATTACTGTCTCTTTTTGTATACACAGATCTGGTTTTAGACGTTTGATTGCTGTAGCTTCGGCAAATTTCAAAAGATTGGAGTTTGATTGTTTGTTAATCACCTTGAAGGACTTCAGTGTATAGGCTCCGTGTTCTGTGTCAAGGAGATGTCTTGCGATGGTATTGCTGAATGCTTTTAATCCATTTGATCTTAAACTTTTCGGAATATGTTCTTTGAATCGGACGTAGGCTCTTCTTTCCGCTCCACCAAAGCGGTTACATTGGTAGGACATAAAGGTGAGCCTATGTCCGACTCAAAGAACATATTCCGAAAAGTTTAAGATCACATGGATGAAAAGCATCCTTAATCACCCTCTTATGTATAAGTATGTCAATATCTGTAATAACGTTGGTTTTCAAATATTTTAGGTTGTAAGAAGCTGATGAGAACTTAACAAAATAAAATGAATTCATATTATTCTGCACCAATCTTTGTTCTTGCTCTCTATACGATAACAAAGGGAACTCTGTGTACGAAATTACCAAAATGTTTTGAATACAGAAAATTAACTAAATGTAAATAAAAATAAGTGGGATGTCATAAAATAATAATCAAGTAAAGATATTTGACAGTTTTAAAAATCTTATTATTAATCTTTAGGGTTAGAACATTACCAGATATTAAAAGCTACATTTCAGGAGTGTCATACTCATACCTTCTGAAGGACCCTAACTCTTCAATGGAAAAAGTATTCAACTCCCAGAACGGAGTTTAATTGGTTATTTCTGCTTGACAATTTTGTTGAATTTTTCTCTTTTACAAGGTGGACTTGGCAACACTGCACCTAAATCTTCTCATATACCCAGGCTTAGGACAGACAGTAACTCTGCAGTAGTTCCAAAAGGAGTTAGTTAGCTTTTCAAGCTCGTTAACAGTGATGTTTTCATTGTCTAAAAAAGAACGACATAGATTATTGCACTTGTGTTTATTTCCGTTTCTTATTGTGTTTCATAAATTAATACTCTTGAATAATGTACTGTAGATCATCACTGTGAAACTGTGTATATTTCGCGATTGAGTAGTTTATAAAATAAAATCATCATTCCATTAAACTGCTCTATTTTTTCATTTGAATCAGTTCCTACTCGGTTGATGAGTCATTTCATCAGTGAAAAGCGCCGTTTAAATAAATTTTAATGTTCAGTTTACTTGTGTTTTATAAATATGAATTTACTGTGAAGTTTAGGTAAACTATTCATCCTGTGTATTATGATTTAAATTTTGTTAAATTCACTATAGGTTATCCTAACACATGATATTCCTGGATCATATCTTCGGGAATTGGTACAAACTTTCCCTGTAGTCATTGATGTATATGACAGAGTGTGCCATGGAGAAGAAACAACTGAAGTTAAACAACTGCCTGAAAATGGTTTATTTTGCGCTGAGCCAGATGATGATAAAATTGGAAAAGCTCAACCAAATTTAAAAACAAATATATTTTCAAAGAAATGTATAGGTCAAAAAACTAGTGAAACAGTTCTAAAATTTCGTCACCTACGGGAAGGATTGTCGTGAATTTAAGTGAGATGATTTGTTTAAAATGTATGAAAATGAAACAAACACTACCTGTGCTGCCGATTAGTGAATCTGATCTAGATTTATTAAAGACTATAGATCTATTAATGAAAATCCTAGAAGTATTCCTCGTAGTTATATTGGCTACGTGGATTCTCAGTGTGAAATATCCATTGAAATAGAGATAAATATCAACATGGATCGACTATTCCAAATAAAAACCTTACCTGAAAATACCCAGACTATTGAACGTATGATTTTCATCTTGGAAAAGCCAGATAAAAGCGAAATAGAAGGTAAAATCAAGTCATTTTCTGTAACATGTTTCTAACTACTTATAAGTAGGCGTTCATCTTATGCAAAATATATTTGTAACATCTTGGAGTGTGGAAAATTATAGAATGAATGTAAACTGATATGAATTCAAATGATACGTATACTTCTCTTTTTCATTTCATAATTTAAGATGTCGAAAATAATTTATCCACATGACAGATCGTAATTGCAAGAATACAGTGTGACTAATATACAATGTCTGATTCAAATCGATTCAATAAAGATTGATTGCGAGAGATTATGAAACTGTATATGCATCATACAATATACTTTATTTTATATAATCAAAAGCAGATCTAGTGAGAAATGACAAATCTTTCTGCAGCACAAGTAATCCTGACTTAACTAAACTAATAACAAAGTTATAATTGCACTCAATTTTCATCATTGGAACCGTAGATTATTTTATCTTAAAGTAGTTAGGTCATTATATTATTATTAATATCTGCCATTTATTTTGTGACTTAAATAGAATAAAAATGACTGAATTCTGGTAATAGGAAAAATTATGTTTGAAAAACAAGAACATTTATTTAGAATATTTTTAAACATACTCTTCGAAAAACAATAAGTATGATTATCTCAGTGAATTAATACATCTGTAAACAATGGCAGGTTAAAGGTCAAGAATAACCAATCAAGATCGAGGTGTATAGGACAAGTTGGAAATCAGATATAGAGGAGTCCGAACACTTCACTTGTACCTGAAGTTTGTGCTTATGATGTCGTTTGGAATAACCATGAAAGCGCCGCGACCAAACCATTCAGCTCAGAAAACAAAACTCCACAAAATACCTCTGTAATTTCGTGTCTGACTTTAATTATTTAGTTATATGCGCTTGAAGATATAATTTTGTCAAAGTTTAGTTATCAAGGTATTCATTCAAATGTTTGGTTTTCACACAGAATTTTGGTGTACGTTTTTGTTAAACGACACAGAAAAGTAGACACGTTCTTGTTTGGGTAGATGGCGTTGTTTTATTACTGAAAATAGTTAACTCTAAATTATTTAGTTGTGGACTATAACCTTGTTTCACTTCACTTTGAGTAGCCAAAGAATATTACTGACACTGAAACAGAATTATGAATAAGAGCTGGAAACATAGAAAATACAGGTGTTTATTAACAGCTGTCTTCGCAAAATACTTCAGATCCGTTGGCCGGACACTATTAGCAACAACGTACTGTGGGAAAGAACAAACCAGATCCCAGCGGAAGAAGAAATCAGGAAGAAGCGCTGGAAGTGGATAGGACACACATTGAGGAAAGCACCCAACTGCATCACAAGACAAGCCCTCACATAGAATCCTCAAGGCCAAGGGCAAGGAGGAAGACCAAAGAACACATTACGCCGAGAAATGGAAATAGACATGAGAAAAATGAACAAGAATTGGATGGAACTAGAAAAGAAGGCCCAGGACAGAGTGGGTTGTAGGATGCTGGTCGGCGGCATATGCTCCATTGGGAGTAACAGGCGTAAGTAAGTAAGTAAGCTGGAAACATAAACATGCATTTGGTTATCGAGTTGCCTAGTTAACATGCAACAGTATTACAATAGTATTATGAGAGCTCATCTATCCCATTCGCACCAACGAATGTCTATGAGTACAACTAGTGTAGCAACAGACTCTTCAACAATAGGCCTCAACATACACAAGGCAAAAAACAACATCCTCAAATACAACACGGAGAACACCAGCCAAATCATTCAAACCTGATGGACAAGCTCTAGAAGAGATAGAAACTTCGTGTACATGGACAGCATAATCGATAAACAAGAGGAATCTGATTCAGATGTAAAGGCAAGGATTGGCAAAGCGAGCACAGCATTCCCACAGTTGAAGAACATATGGAACTCAAAACAACTGTCTTCAAGACAACATCAAAGTCAGACTCTTCAATATGAACGTCGAAACAGTCCTACTGTTCTGTACGGAGCTGCAACTTCGAGAACTACTACAACAGTCATCAAAAATGTACAAACATTTGTAAACAATTGTCTATGCAAAATACTCAATGTTCGTTGGCCGAAAACCATCAGCAGCAATCCACTGTGGGAAAGAACAAACCAGTTTCCAACTGAAGAGGACTTCTCCAGGTCAGCTAAAGGATAATATTATCTGGTGAATTACAAGTTTGTCAATATCTGTAAATCCTAAACTCGGGAAAATTCACAAACATTTTAAGCAACATCAAAGCAACTTGGTGTTCAGAGAGTTCCAATAAGTTGGATACATCAGCTGTATCTGATAACCATCAGAAATTCTTTCAATTTATCTTGACAACTGATAACAAGAAGTTTGATATCATTCATTCAGTTTGAATTTGACAATATTATATAGATCTCTAAAAGCACTTCGAACACTAAACAGATTACTTTGTAAATAATTTGACTAAGTTGTCGCCTTTTCAATATCAATCATATTGAGGCTAGACCACCATGAGAAACCTGGAAGCACTGGACGGCAGTTTCGTCCTAGTATGAGACTCCCTAGTAGTGCGCATCCACGATCCAGCATCCCACGTGATTCGAACCCAGGACCTATCAGTCTCGCACCAGTCGCTTAACCAACTAGACTACTGAGTTGGCATCCAATGGTGATTTCAATCAAAAACTTAACAATCTTCACAACCCTTAAAAACTGATAATCATTCATATTGTTTTCTAATATTTAATAATTGAATAAGAATAACACTTTTTGTAATTTAAATCTCCTAAATAAATCCTTAATTTTTGTTGTTGTTTTTCTTTATATAGCTAATTATGTATCAGAGATAATAGAAAAAATTCAATTATTTATAATAAAATCAAATGCACGTTCAATTGGTATATCTGATGAATTACCATTACCTATGATTAAAGCAAATTTAAATTCTATACAATCACAATATATGCCATGTATTCATTCAAATCTATCTAATTTTTTATTATCTAATTCAAATAATAATAATAACAGTAACAGTAATAATAATATTACTACTACTAATAATAATAGTAACAATAATGATGGTAATATCAATAATAATAATAAATGTAAATATAATAATTTTCAATTAAATAATCAATTTATCACAGGTTTTCATTTAAATGATCAAGATTTTAATTTAATTATATTAGAAATTGGTGATCATTTAATAAGTCAATATTTAGAAAATTTATTGATTCATTGTTTATATAAATATAATCAATATTCAATTAATTATTCAACTAAAAAATGTAATAATGTGAAATTTTTTAAAAATAATCAATTATTATATCATAAACGTTTATATACATCATTAAATTGGTATTTATTAGAATATAAAATGTTAATACCAATCAATCAATTAATCAATAAATCAATATTTTATATACGTGATTTAATACCACGTATTATTTATTGTGCTATTTATAGAATAATCAATATAAGATTATATTATGATATATTATTATATAATCGATATTATAATATATATCCAACTAGTAAAATGATGAATGAATTAATTAAACAATTTTGTATTACATCTAATTTAATCGATGATTATTCATTATTATATAATAATATATCAATGAAATCATTATCTAATATAAAATATAATAATAATGAACAGAATCAATTCAATGAAAATGATATTGTTCATATAAAAGAAAATGTAAATAAAATATTGAAGAAAAAAAACATTTTGTTAAAAAGTATTAAATATAGAAATGATAATGTTATATCCTATTGGTGATGATTAGATGGCGAGTAACTTCCATGATCTAATACTATATATATATATATATATATATATATATATATATATATATATATATATATATATGTATATATATACATATATATATTCCTATTTGTACAACTATTCAATAATTAGATTGTGTATATCTATATTCCTCTTATTCTAAGCTTCATTTTTATCTATAGATTATTATTGTACGATTTACTGTTTTCAAGTTATGTTCCATTTATTGATTACAGTTTTTTAATGTCATAGCCACTTTTCTGTTTAATCTTGTATAAATGTTATTTTCTATTTTATGGTATGATGTGATCTGTATTTGACTGATATTATAAATCAAGTATATTCGAAATAAATAATTCTTATCATGGGACCTATTATTAGTGTTCTTAACTCAACTGGATGGATTAGATGAACAAAGGACTAATAAAGATGCTAGGCTGCTCATACCGATTGAACATCATTGGTTTAATACAATACTAAAATTGAATAAGTAGTGTTTTGATTGCCAAATAAATCACGTGATAACTAGCCGGACTTTAAGTCACAACATATACATTGCATGAATTACTTTTAAATGATAAACATTTTTATGATTGATTGATTTTTATTTGAAGAAAAAAATAATAATTTAAATAAACAATTTGTTTATAATGACAGTATTCAATCAAATTATTCATCATCATTTATTTCTAAAAAAAGAAAAAAAGAACTTTTATCCAAAAAAAAGAGAAGAAAAAGAAGAAGAAAGATTTACCTTATTCTAATGAATATTTGAATTGTGAAAGTTTCGAATTGACATAAGATGTTGGTTATAGTGAAATAATTGGCGAGACTCTAATTTATGAACGAACCAATCAGAAGCGGTTTAGAGACATCAAAGTTACGGCGCCAACTTCACTGCTTAATGCTAACGTACGATCGGTTCACAGGGAATTTTGTACAAAACGTGATAATCGAGCGGCTATAACAAATAAAACGGTGACACTATAATAAATGGATGAATCAATGAGGTTTTAGTGGCCCGTGGATCTGACTCCTATTTAGATCGTATAAATGATTGTTATCGCTGATTCTCGTATATCATCGTCGACTTGAATCGCGTTAGTCAATAATTGAATTAAATAAGTCGAATAACGAGAATTGACTTATGAATACATATATTTTGTATGTAAAGTGAATGTAATAGAACAGAGCAAAATGACGCGCAGGGAGGATGGCTGGGAAGCCAACTCCATTTTAATCAAGCGTTACTCAATATTTATAGTCAGACAAAATAAAGCTACAGACATGTGACTAATGGAATAAGAAGGGCACACACATATACGCTCATATAAAAACAGTCTAAATTGATAAGCGAATAAATAACAAGGTCAAAGTATGGCTCGAGTAGAATGAATAAAATGGAATGTCCGAAAGTTAGAATAAGGTATATGGGCTTAACATAGTAACTGACACTATAAGGTATAAGATAATAGATCTCGTATTTTAACGCGAAAGCCTTTCATCCATTTAGCTAAATAAATTTCTGGCATGATAGCTGATGTCAGTTCGTGATGAAAACCCCATATATAATTCCCAACTGGGGTAAATTACGACAATTGTTGCGAACTTGATAATAGCACCAGTAATACTGGCTGCAGCCAGGTACTACAATATATACGGATGATTGGAGAGCGTACAGACCCCTACGTAGGCTTGGTTATGTGCATTGTGTCGTTATCCACAAGTAGCATTTTGTTCACTCAACAACCGGAGTTCACATAAACAATATTGAAGCTATTTGTTTGAGGCTGAAGTAGTTTTTGAGACTTTATCGTGGCTCCAGATGTCGACTATTCTGTAGTCATATGCATAATTTTCTATACTGCATGCATAACGATTCTAGAACCTCTGAACCTCTTTCTAACTTTGACAAGTTTTTGAACCACGTATAGGGAGTGTATCCACTTTATTTCCATGTTTTTGTATAATATATTTTACTCTATACTGACTGTTTGCTGATTGGCTAATATTTTTCAAGGTCATTTAAGATTCGTTCAAAAGGTCGTCCATAAATTAGAGTCACGCCAAATAATTATTAAACAATGAAATTTAAATGATAATTTATCATTTAGATAAAACTTACGTCATCATTGTACATAATATAAACAAGTTAAATAATAAAATAAATCAACATTAAACAATTACATAATACGTTTTATGAAATAAGAATTTTCCTTTAAATGTGCTCGAATAGTATCATAGTATTTAGGCACCAAATTAATGTAAGACATTTAAAAAAGGTAGAATATATTTGTGAAATGTCAGTGAATACCATTGAAGTAAATCCAATGTTTTCACCTGACAATCTGATTTAACCTTTTTCAAGGAATCTAATCAAACATCAAAATGATCGAATATAAATAGGTATATAGTTCTCCGATTCATTGTATACTGAATAGGTCATTTAATCAATGTTAACAATGTTTAAAGTAGGTATTTGCATTAAGGTTTAAGAATTATGTGGTATGAAACGAAAAGTGTTATGATGACAGATAGTGTGTATACGTAAATGAGGAGGAATTTCATTCGCTAATTATAGTCTTCGGTTGGTGAATAATAAGAAAACATATAATTTTTATCTATGATATGAATGAAGAATGTCACAGCATGCATAAAATGAAGATAAATATATTATATAAGATTAATAAGAATGAGAAGTTTATTAGAAGAATTTATATACAAAGCATATACATTGAATTTTTACATTTGTTGTCAGTTTTATAACTTACTTTCTTTGCATTCCATATTGTATTTAGAAAATTGTGTCTAATAAATTCAGTAAATTCAGAAGGGGTTTTGTGGATTTTATAGTAATTTTAATAGTTGAGATCATGAGTTAATTAAAGCTAGACCACCATGAAAAACCGATAGATCCTAGGTTCGAATCTTGCGAGGCCGGATAGTGGATGCTCACTGTTGAGAAGCCCCACAATAGGACGAAACGGCCGTCTGATAAGTTTAAATGATTGTATGATTCAATTCATTTAGTTAGGGGGGATATATAAGATTAAAAATGTATAAGAAAAATAAATGAATCTAACTGTGATTAATTTATTGTGACAATATAATTGGATTCTCTTAAAGTTTATATCTATTTCGCGCGTTATTCATATGCTTTGTATAAAAATAGATCAGGTTACTGTTTATAAGAAAATAGCAGACTGTTTAAGGTATTGAGAAGGTGAAACAAAGTAGTTACAATAGTTTATTTCATACATAACTCCAGTGATGAAATTCGCACGCAAAACAGATAGACAAATAGAGGAATTAATGCTCACTAAGGCAAAGCTCAATTCAGTTATACTTAGAGGTAGATTACTAGCTACAAAAGAAAGAAGATCTAGGGGAAATAGAAATCGGAGGGATTTGTGATGTGGAGGCAGCTGTGTTTATTGGGAAAGTACACAGTGAATTGTGCAACACTGCTTGGTTACACATAATGTTCCCTGAAAGCATCACGACGAAGCACGCAACTTGATAGTAAAGAAACTTCCATAACTGAAAATAAGCTACTATTAGGGATCATATATACCGACGCAATCCACATTTTGCACACAAATTTATAAGCATACGAGTCATTGTCAGTTAGGCATTCTTACAGATAATTTAAGTGATTAGTGTTTGCGTAAGGACGACAAATACATGGGCGAGTATCTTCATTCATGCATACTCCTTGATATAGTCATACAAACATGAAGGTTAATTGTATGGAAATATAGATGCATTGATTTTTTGAATCATCTCATTAATGGTTAAGACTGCTATTGATAAATTTCTTCTTGACATACGTTTGTATTGTGTGGATTGTCTTGATATTGCCATTAATTCACAAGCAGTTTTTAAGCAGGTATAAGTGGTGGTGAAGTAGACATCAACTCTAAGACACCATTACATCCAACTGACGAGTCCCAAATAGTAAGAAACGCCCGTTCTGGATTCAAATGCTAGCCACATTCTATCTCCGCCTAAAGAATTATTTTTGTCCGAAAAAAATTGTCTGTCTAGACATTGGCTAGTTTACAAGGTTTAATTAAGTTAAACATGCATCAACCTGTGTGGTTTAAAAGTATTAGTAAAAATAACATAAGTAACCAATTAAAACAACCATAGATTGTTTTAATCTGAAAATAAATTTCAATTACATGAATTATTTCCTTGTTAATGAGTTAATTAAGAACCAGAATGAATAAAAATTTTCATTAAAATAACTAACAAATGAAATGTAGGTAGTATGATTTTGTTTTAGGTATCAGAAGAGAGTAACATCGATAGATCAGATACTTATAGTAACAGCATTCTACAACTGAACTTTAATGGTTTGTGTTAATAAGATGAAATATCTGAACAAGTTAAAATATACTTAATAAAGAAAGGTATTTTGTAAGATACGAAACAATACAATACATTTAGTATTGTAAAAGACAAAGTAATCAAGCTGTCAGTAACATAACATTAGAATTTAATAAATATTAAGTTAATATTGAAATGAGAAAAGTCACAATAGTAATTTTTGTTCTGGCAGTATCAACTAGTCATAGTATTGATTTGAGTTAATCAAAACAGTGCTATTCAGTTGTTCGTTGGTATCTTGATATTTAATAAAATAAAACTCTACGTTGTGATTTTAAAGTATTTAGTAGTTAAATTTAGGTGTTTTTTTTAGGATGTTTCTGTTAGGTCCCGATAAGCATAGTGAATGGTAACTTTTGGAATCTGTTTATGGACCAATACTATGCTTATAGTTTTATTGTATAATTGTAAAGTAACTAAACTATTCATATTCATGTTCCTTTTTATTATGAGCTTTATTTTGGCATATGAACTATTATTATACGATCTAACATTCTTGAATTATGCCCAGTCTATTAGTCACTGACTCCCACATTCACAGCCACATTTGGCTAATTCTTGTACAAATGTTATTTTCTATTTTATGGTACGATGTGGTC